TTAATATTTTGAGTATTTTATATATGGTTTTTTTTTTAAATAAATTATCCAATTATATTCTATTACAGGACAATTTAAATTAAGTGATAGAAATTTTAGTATAATCATTATGAAGTAATCACCGGTTCAATGATTAGGATATTTCTTCCCGAATGGAAAGCATCACTAATGACAAAATGTGCAACATCCATGATTTATGAAACTGCCAATGTCGAGTGAACGTAACTAATGAAGTATGACCTTTTGTAGCGACCGGTAGAAAGTAATTTGTTGCACGTGGCTTATTATGTCAACATAATTTTTCACTGTAGGTAAAAAAATTTGACCCTAATAACTACCGTTTCTTCACGAGAAGCAGGACAGACATTGAACGTTATCGAATGCATCACGCTATCACATGACAAACAAGGTCACAAACGGAAAGTCAGTTATTTTAAAACAATGGTGGCTTATTTTCGCAGCGCTAAATTCATAATCACGCAAAGGGACTCTTACAATTTCATGGAGTTTATTGTTTTTCCATCCGACAACAAAAGCAGCCATATTTTCCGTTATGGTTATAAACGGAACACAATGAAAAAATTAACTGGCTACCTAAAAGTGTATTCTAGTTTCGCTTCTTTCAATTAAATGTAATTAAAACCACAATTAAGTTTTCTCACCATTAAATAAATCATAATATTTATCAATCTTCACTTATACAAAACTGACGGTCTGATATATAATTTTCTAATAAGTTTGAAATTGTTCAGTTTTATTATTCTTGTCAATATTGTTATTTGTTATGCTAACAAAAAACATATCGAATACATTTTCATTGCAAAATAAAGAAATAATTAAATGTAAGTTTATCTTGATTGCAATTGGAAAGAACGTTTTAAGCAATATTTTTATATTTAATAAGCCACGAAAAGATTTAAAAAAAAAATTAGAGAATGATTCCAATTATAAATATTAGATTAATTTTCTCACAATGTTTTAATCTCTACATGCGAACTGATTACGTATGTCGATGCAATCTGTATTATTACAAGTTAACGCTGTTGGAAACGTATGGTCAACTTGTATTCACTTGTAATGCGTACCCTACCGGATGTCATAATGTCGTTCGCCTTAAATAAGCAATGTATAATATTAACTATCCACTTTCCAGCCATCAGTATAACGCAATTCGCGTATCAGAATACATTGTGTAACGTTGTTCCTAAATAAAATAATCTTCAATAGTAATTTATAACCTAAGGTAATTGAATCACTTGATAAAATTGTGATAAGAGCCCAGTTTGTTTTTATCCTTTAAAAAGTCACATTGATAACGTGTGATATTGAAAAAAAAGCACATTTGATACGATCTAATAAAGTATTAAAGTATAATAAACACTACTCTTATACACTTATTTACTTCGAATTTTTGCGTATTCACGTAAAATGTAAAAACAATACGTAACATAATCACGTCACATCATTTATGTAAATTTCAAGAAGATGCATTGTATTATATAAATAAAAAATTATTTTTAAAAAGATCGATATAATTTCATAAAATAAAATTCATAAGTTCTATAATTTGTTGTTATGTATGTACATATAAAGTAGTAAGTATAATAAAATAATACAACATGCATAGATTCATCTTGCTTCAATTTTGACTTTTCATTACAATATATAATATCGTCTTTTGCAGCCACTCTCATGTCTCACCGTCTTATGTACACAATGTACGAAATTGTCACGCAATTGATCACTAAAAATCACAATTATTGATAACAATCATATATAATATTCAAAAATAATATCCAGCCAAATTAAACAATGAAATCGCAAAACATGCATATATAAAGTATATACGTAGTGCGACTGTTTGCACAATTCCTTTATCAAACATAGTTAATAAATACGTTGTTGTTTCTACCTCGTATATACACAATCTGGAAACGTCATTATATATTATATAATTAGGAATATATCGAAAAAGTGAGAGTTCAAATATCAAATATCATATAATATAGTGCCAGAACGAAAATTCAAATATCATATAGTGCTAAAACTTACCACAAAAATGTATTTCTTATACATATTATTAATTGTTTTTTACATATTATATATATCCAAAAAAATTACAAATGTAATTTCTCATAATAAAATAATGACAGAGTAACTTTATTATTAATAATATTTATAATATTTAAATAATTTTTTTCAAAATCCACTTTCTAGCCATCAGTATAACGCAATTCGCGTATCCTTCTTATTGGAAATAAAAATTTATCTTGCTTGAAAATCCTGTTTATGTTTCGTTGTATTTAAGATGGAATTATTAAAAAAAAAGAAAAGAGTTAAGTGTATTATAAATTACTGTCATAATTATTTTATCATTATATATATATAATGATAGAATAATTATGACAGTAATTTATAATACACTTAATTCTTTTCTTTTATTATATAATTATATACTTTTAATATATAAAGATTATAATAAATCAAATAAATAACGAATATCTGCAAACTGCTACAATATTATTAAAAACCTAGTAGTTTTTGCGAAAGCTCAAAGGAGAGACAAAAGCGACAAAATGACTCAAGACATCGCATACAATAGCAGCATAACGTTTATTAGCACATCAAAGATATTATAATAAATACTATAATTTTTTTTTAAATTTACAATGTAAATATATCCCGCATATTTATATAATTTTATATGTATACTTATACATAGACATTGAGTTCTGTTAATATATTCAGACGAAACATTTGACGCAAAATAAAATATTAATCGCAAAATAATATTCTATTGTCATCACAAACACCGAATTTAATGCATCACATGACAATTCTGTTTTATTTTAACTTTTCCTAAATTAAAAGATCATAAAATTGATCACAATAAGTTTAATAATCTGTCTTAATTATGCAGTTATTCTTTAAAGAATTGCATTTATTCATGCTTGATGTATAATAAATACAATGCTTGTATCACACAATGCTGCAATTAATTAATATATATATATATATATAATAAAAATAAAAAGTATGTGTTCAAATATTATTTTATATATTACTATATATATTAATATTTTTATAGTATTATATATCTCTAAATGTGGAAGAGAAATACAATATTTATTTTTAACAATATATTACGGAGAGCATTATATATATTGTATTTGAATATCTTGTATATATAATATTAGAAAGAAGAGAGAAGTGTTGTGTCAAAGTCAGATTTATCTCTAAGAGACTATGCAATACTATATGAACTTTATATATGTATAATATTAACATTTTTGGAATTATATTAAATATTTCACATATAATTTTATTTACGACAACGATTCTAATAGACTAGCCATGATATTTTTAGCACTATCAAGTAACATACGATCAAAATCTAATTCGTCTTGCATAGTTTTGCAAGAAGATAAAAATGAAGATATGTAATACTACCGGGATATATAGGTACATCTCATAAATAATAATTGCAAAACAAAAGATAATACTAATCTAAAAGGAACTATTTATTCTCTAATCGTAACAAAATCCCTAATTCATCTAATGTTTCTACGCGACGAACTCGAAGTTAATACTCTGTTTCCGGTATTTTTACAAATTGTCGTTTGCTACGAAGAACTCGGCCTAATCCATTAGATTAGCCGGGAATAACTATCGATAACCGGGAGTACCGAATTGGTCCGAATAACGAACTCAGATCGTTAGCTTTTTTGCGCAACGATTGTGCTTGCACGGCACGTCTTTCTCTTTGCGTCGGCAAAGATTGAAATCCAGATTCGACGAATTTTATTACTACAGAAAGACTGAAGCCGAGCTTTTTCGAAGAACAAATGCATCAACTAATATTCCATGACATCACTCAAACTTGAAGAAAGAAAATCAAGATTTTGATAAAAGTATAATTGCTTTCAAACTATCACAATATGACTATGAGATTTTTGTTTCGCTTTTTTTTGGCATTAAAATATTGCCGGCTCAATCAAACCGAAAAAAATCTACGTCGCGTATTGCGACGTAGATGGAATGTTTTTTCCTTTATAAAGAAAAATAAATTCTTTTATAAAGAAAAATCGCTCTGCGTAATTAATTTATTTTTTTGGGGACAAAACATGAGAGATTTTTTTTCGATACAATATTATAAAAGGGCAAGTGTATAATATAATATTTTTTTGAAAGGGTAAGGGAAATATAAATATCATTTTGTGTTGATTAAATATCATAGGGATATAGCATGCGAACAATTCTAATACATATGTCACAATTTGCGTACAATATGCAAAGTATCTATCTTATATGAAATCTTATTTCAATTTCTCTGATAATGTAAGATAGTTTTATATAGATTTAGGTAATCTAGTTATATAGACAAAGCAATTAATAGAATAAATCTAATTGCAAGTGGTATGTGTACATAATGCTCTAATAATGCATCTCTTAGATACATAGTCACGCAGAAAAAACCAGCTGCTTATTTTATATTTTATTAGGCGGATAAGAAAAAGGCCTGTACGCGCTACGACATTTCAGCGTCTTTCTTGCAAAATAAAATCTTTTTCACAAAGATGCTACCCTGCCTTCACACCACGCCATAAATATATTAATATCCATAACAATGAGTCAAGACGAAAATAACTTAATATATACGTAAATCATTGCAATATCAACACCATAATTTTTTAAAATACCACTATACATATGTACAATTCGGCTCATAGCTTACTTCCATTTATATATATATATATATATATATATATATATATATATATATATATATCAACGATACGAGTGAACGATACATCATATACTCAAAGGGGAGGTCGAGAGATTTGCTCTAGAGTGCGTAACCCCGAAAACGTCCCAATCGTCGCACTAGCGGTGTTTGAGGCAGACGATAAAAAGACAGAAACGTAACACAACGGTTATGCATGTACACGTGGGCAGAAAGAAGCGTCATGCGGTGCAGCCAAGCGTGCGTTGCTGTTTACCTGCGAACGGCACATCGCCGAAGTATTCCTCGACATTGTCAGTGGACATGCTCTTGTCGGACAGAGATACGCTGGATAATGAACCGCTTGACGCGTCCAAAGATCCAGCGGTGGGAAACTGCAGCAGATCCTCGTCCGTTTCCGTCTCCATGTCACGAGATCTTCGTTTGTACACCTATTGATGACAAATCAGCGCCATTTGAGAAATAAGCGCGATTCTTCGCCTAAAGTTGCCTACAGTATTGCGTAAATACTGCGAGGAAGGGTATCACGCTCCGATTTCCGAGCACTGAATATCTGCCATCGATCATATCGTATCGATCATGTTGAATTTATGACAGTTGTGTTTTACAATTTGCCCGCGACCGCTATTACTCTGCGCGTATCACCGTTATCGCGAAATTGTTAACATTCGTATTTTATATACGGATATTTACAGTCGATATAAAAATTCCCCCCCGTGAGTTGCGTCGCATCGCGTTAGCAAAGCGCACGAAAAATGAAGCCAATCCTATCGCGATGAAAATTTATTGAAACGAAACGTCCGCGCGCGCAGGCACGCGAGAAATATGCCATGTAAATCGAAGGGAAAATAAATACGCGTGGTCAACCTAAAGCATATTTATTTATTCGAATAAAAATCTATACCTTTTGACATTAATTCTTTCGATTCTGCTGACGGCGAGTCATAAATGACAAATATAATACGATTTTTTCCAGCATTCTGAAATTTTATGATCCGCAGGGAATTGTTACCGTGCAACTGTTGATGCAACCCACATGCATCGGAATTATTTTATACGTAAAAAATAATTTTTTTTATAAAAAAAGATGAAAGATATATGTATACACGTGTGTATATGTATATGAATGTGTGTATATGTATATGAATAGTCTCAATACTGAAATAATTAAAGTTACAACTCGATTTATTTTATACAGATCACTCATACGCGTATGTATTTTTATATTTTGTGATATTAATAGCAAGCTGCAATCAAAATGGTCAACGTAAAGCCTCTTATATTTAATAGCAACGCGTATAAACCACCGAGAATTACATTACGCCACTCAAAGAGACTTCGCGTTTTGATTTACTAAGTGTAAACTGCGAGACGGCAACCTGCTATTTCATCGCACGTTCCAGAAAGGCTCTAACGCAATTAAAATTTGACGTCGGAGGCTCGACAGACGCTGGTATCATCTGTAAAATGCCGAGAGCATCTCGAGAAGACAGCCGGAAACCGTCGCTACAAATTCGCGAATTTCTCTCTCTTATGGCAACAGAGAACGAACGTTCGTGAGGCGAAGTCAGACAGGCATAGAAGCCGAGAGCTTCATTATTCAAAGGGTGTCGGCATCTTGCATTCTGCCGCTCTACTGGATTCGCGGAAGTTGACGGGTGAGAAGCAACCATCCGTAGACGGATGGTTCTCCCGTCTCTTCGTCCTTCCTCACGTTCTCCGATAGATTCACGGAGACCTATGCTGTCTTCGGATGCCGTTCGATCCCGTCATCGAATCATATCAACCACTCGACGAGTCGACAATATGCTATTCGAATATATCGCGAGTCGACCAATGATGTTGCGATACTGGTCGTGCAAATCAATATAGTTAACTTCTAGTTTTTCGAAATATCATTTCAATTTTCGGTATATTATATACGCTTAACCTCGCTCAAAGAGCTCAATTTTTTGAATTAATTTAAATTTAGAGACAGAAAATGCATGCGTGTAGGATCGTTCTACGCTCAATGAATACCAAGGATTTACGAATCATTAAAAAAGATGTATGAAATGTGCCACAAAAAAATATGCATGTTTACCAAATAAATGATCCGCATGATGAAGAGATCGATCATATCTCAAACAAGTCATACGGTAGCATATGAGCTCACCGTCTTCGTCGCGTTCGCCCCTTTCGCGAACTCCTTTCCGGATATATTCACTGTGAGATATTTCGTCAAGCGTGTACAGCCGACTGAAAGACACGGATTGCGAATGCATATAGGGAACGGCAGAGAGAAGCCACGATGGATGGCACAGAGATATCGTGGAAAGAGCAGAGAGAGAGAGAGAGAAATAAAGAGAGAGAGAGAGAGAGGCAAGAGTGTGTTGGAAGCTGTGTGGTATGCTATGGATATCCATTTGCTGCGGATGGGAACTGAACGTAGTCGGTCTCACAGCAGAACGATCATAGGGCGACGCGCAAACGGCAGCAAACGAGCGAGACAGGCCGAAGGCGGTGGGAGTGAGGCAGATCGACTCCTTGTAAATCGCATCACAGATCAAACACAGCTTGTATATTAAACGTAACCTGGTAAGATGCCATGTTGACTGCTTATCTACTGTCCAAGACACCAGGTCAAGTGAGAGCATTAATGACGTTCCTTAGCGAGCGTACGTTACCAAGTACTTGTGTCATGAGCGACTTCAAGGACAGTTTCGGTTGTCGACAAATATTTTAAAGATATCCGCGGTTTCGTGGATAAACCAAGTAGTTCAGAATATCCGCAATCTGACATACTGGCGGAACTATATCTTGTGATATTCCTAACATATGAAACGGATATACATATAAACGTCTGCCGTACTTCCAAGGAGCAGCCGAGGATGCGAAATTGAACGCCGCTTGCATGCTTCGCCAGGTACCGCGCGACAAATCGCAGAAGCGCTTCCATTTGCCTGTCGTTTGAAACGAACTGCGGAATTCTCGCGGGAAATTGAGAATCTTGCATACATGCTCGCTCAACTTAATACGGAAATCGGAAACGATATTAGTTGCTTAATGAATCGTCACTCATAACTCGTCCACGTAATTTCCTAAGATAACTTTATTGCAGAAATTACATTTCTTTTTTTCCAAAAATCTGGTAGAAAAATATCAGAAAATAAAATTATTTTCTCTCTTTCGATGATGTGATAAGCACGTTCGGAAATTATTTTACGGAAATTTGTAATAAGGGATATCATTATGTAACAGTGGTTATAATAACGAGTCATTAATTATCCCCTACCTTTCTTGCGTCGTACGTGCGCCAACGTGCCGATCTTGACAATAATAATTAGTAATATGGTAACTAGTATTTACCTGACTGAGTGGGCGAATGCGCTCGTGAATTGACTTTTCCGCTTGCATGGCGGACGGTGGCGGATGATCAGGAGTTGGGGGCTGAACGTAATGCGTAGGACTGGTTGGTAGCATCATTTGCACGCGTTTGAGACGTTTGTCGGTGGCTTCACGATTCTCCAGCACGGATTGTCCGTCCACCATCTCGCGCTTTTCATCAAGGAGACTTTCTTGGGAAGACTTCAGAGTGAGAAAGGCATTCGACACGAACGTTTGCTCCTGGATAGCTGCGTCGCCGTCGCTACAAGGTGACTTGTCGGTACACGGGCTACTCTCTGGTTCGTAGCTCTCGTAGGCGTGTCTGCGTAGTTTTCTTCGCGGATTCAACATCTTGATCGGCCGATTTTCGTAAATAGACGTTATGGCTACCGGCTCCACGTTGGGCTCACGTTTTTCATCGGGACCGACCAGCCGCGATCTCATTTCTACGTACTGGTCCACGCTTCGAGTAACGTGTCGCAACTGCTCCCGTCGTTTTTGCAACTGCTCAAGATCGATGTGACTACGCGCTCCGCTGCGCGCTAGGAATAAATATTCGTAATTACTCGGTCCTACCGAACTGTCAGCGGATAAAGACATTTGTGTCTGCAGATGCGTCGGGGATACCGAAAGATTTCGCCTGGGTGGTTTCTTGGGAGGTGTCGGCTGCGAAAAAAAAGCGAATATTTCTTCACGAGTCTCGCAGGCTTGCCCCTTTATGTCCAAATTTTGGAATAAAATTTATTTATTTGAAAAAGCACAAGTAAGAACATTTTTTTTTGTTATTTTCACCGAATGCGTATGTATGCCCTGTCACTTCTTTTTGCGTCCGTAACGTTAATTTAGATTAATTGAGATTCTTACCGAGACCTTACTGTTGGAAGCGGGACTGTGTAGCGAGCTAGACAGGGGTGCCATCGGCAAGTAAATCCCGGCAGCGCTGGAATCGTTGGGCAAACAACGGCGATCCCGTGGGCTAGGTCCGCCGACGCTCGAGGATGACGACACGCTCAATTGGTCGGACTCTCTGCCGCCCCCGTATCCCGTGGGCAATGTCAAGGACAGGTCCTCCGACACGAAACTACCCTCCATTGTGCCGCGTGGCACGGGTGGAGTTTGGTACAGTCCGTTATCGGAACCCCTGTGCAATCAAAAGTTGGGGTCTCAATGGGACCGATCGGCGATCTATCATTGATCGATGATAAATCAAAAACGTCGGAAGCGTACGCTTCTGCTCGATTAATCAGTGAGAAATAGAAGGATCTCACGTTTTCGTTGTTTATTTTCTAACAGTATATCTCAGAGAAATTAAATTTTATTTAAAATACGGGATATTTCTTTTGTAGAATTTTTTAGCAACATTAAATACGCGTGAATATTTCTTAACAAATGTTCTATATACAGATACATGCATATAAGCTACCGCTATACTGAACATTAATTCAATGTTAAGAAATGATGTTATTTCTAATACAACTATAGGGTGCAAAATGTTTGTATGTATTATTACCGTGTAGTGTCGAGTGGTAATGTTCGTTTGGTAGTGTTTTGTGGTATATCTTCAGGGGTTTGATCGGAACTTTCGAGAGTATTTATAGAGTTGAGAGTGTCGGATAAAGACATAAAGACGCTGTCGAAGACGGAACTGAGGTCGGAATCCTCTGTCTGCTGGAGGACCCTCCGTACTCCGTTCACCGGTTCCTCGTTCTGCTCGTCTTCACTGAAACGCGCATCCCGTCATCGATTACCAACAATCAATCGCACATTCAAAGCCAAGCAACATAATCTCGTACATCGATCAAACCGGAGTAATTAATCAATTAGACATCACTAACATAAAAGTTAACGAATGTTTATAAAAACGATCGTATCATACTTCATATCACACCAACGTTCGTATAATGTTAACTTATTCGATATATTAAAAATTATACGATTTACAAATAACAAAGTTATTGCCTAGATTAAAATACTCAAAAGCAAAGAGCGTACATCACATTATGTAAAGGTATAAATGTAAATTGTAGAATATAAAAAATCTGACAAAATACGATTCAGTTGAAGACATTCACGAGCAAGTGTTGATTTTTAATGAGACCACGTTGACGAAGATGGAACGCGGCGCGAACAACACGAGAAAAAGGAGTGAAAAAGAAGCTGGTGGTCCTCGGAGACCGCGCGTTCGCAACACGAAAGGGAGAAAACGATGGTTATTAGTTTTATGCTGAGACGGGCTAACATTTACATTGTTTAACGTGATGGATTCATTTCGAAGCGGCGAAACTGGGGCTACCGACGTCAAACATTGATGGTGGAAGTGCGGAACATCAACGGCAGCTCTCACGTTCTCTCGCCCTCTTTCTCTCCCTTCATATAATCGCATATCTCTGTTTCCCCTTCGTTTTCTCTCTTACTTTCCCTCTAAAAACCGCATCTCTCTATCGTCCTACGTCTTCGTCTTTCTCTTTCTCGCTTGTTGTACCCAGCCAACCAGTCGGGCTTAGCAGCTAGAACGGTAACGCTGGCACAGAGTACCAATGGGGTGATGCAACGGGGTGACCTAGGGGCGAACGAGGCGGTCGGACCCACCATCTCGCCTGCCTACATCAGGAAAATTAAACCAAGCCAAGCGGTGCTTAACGCGCTGGGGCTACATGCGGCCGTGCCACCTCCTCCAACCTCTTCATCCACCTTCGCGTTTCACCCCCGGCGCCATCCCATATCCAGGTTCCCTTTTCGGTCCGAGAACCTCCACCTCCAACCTTCTCTACTTTCTACGAATAAGAGCGGCAGCGGTAGCAACAGCGCTAGCACCAGCCGTCATCATCCCGGTGCTTGGCCGGTACTCATTCACTCCGCGCTCCGTCCATGTTTCTACGCTTTTGTTTGTCCAACATCTCCTATATTAAAGCACAGCCGCGACCGCTGTATGCGCGTAGAAAGAGAAAGAGAGAGAGAGAAAGGGAGTCTTTTTGCAAAATATTACGAAGCCCGCGCTTACTCGATGCAATACCATCGCAAGTTTTATTTTTGAAGAAAAAATTTCTATAAAAATGATCTAAATGACAGGAATGCTTTCTCATTGCACTTTACATGCGAAATCTTAATCTGCGTTCGGGTGATTATACGTAAGAATACATATATACATTATTATAGCACATATATACATTATTATACCACATATATACTATTAGAATTGGTATTAATTAATATTTTAGCATCTGTAAACAAGTTTACAGCGCATTACGGTAATATGCTGTCTTATCGTTTATATGTCTAATATTCGCGCAATATTTCATTTGGTATAATATTTAAATCACTACCAGATTACGAACATATACTATATACTCTATGCAAACATTATCTATCACAGTATATCATGACATTATATATAAAGAGAAAATAAAAGTCGACACGTAAATGTAAAATGATGCTAGACTAAATATAAAAAAATATATATATATTACAATGCACAACACACACTCAAACTGAATGAAAATACTTACAAAGAAGTGCCGGAAACGCGACGATCGTCGTCCCGAGGCTTATGATAGAATTGCCATTGAGTAGGTGATGTCCCTTCCGCGGGGGAAAGATCATCCCCCGGACGAACATTTTCGTAGGGGCTGCCCAATGAATCGCCACCCTGCACCGGAATTGGCGGCAAGTTCTCGCTGTCAGCGTCGCTTTCCACACCGGAGGAAGACCGATGTCCTATTTGAAGTTGAGAAAATCGCATATAATCGCACATACAATTTGCTTGTGCAAAAATAGAAATTAATAAAACAGTGCAATGAGAGGCTCGTATGATATAAATCAAAAACAGAGAGCAATGAAGGTAAAGAGATTACAAATCGTATTACAAATTTCCAATTCAACGTACAAAATATTATTGTGACAACCGTTTCGACCTCATCCAATAATTGTACCACTCTGGACATTATTTGTGTTGCGACCTTCATAATTCTTTTCAAAATGTATTTTATACTGCTTTCCATTTCTTCTTGACTTAATTTGTTCTTATTTTTTTAAATTTTTCTTGTATTTAATTTAACTTGTCGACATTGAAAAGGACTTGGATGAGGTTGTCACAATAATATTTCATATGTTATTAATAATATTTTATATGTTAAATATTATTTGTATGTTGAATAATATTTTGTATGTTAAATATTATTTGTATGTTGAATAATATTTTGTATATTGGAAATTTGTAATATGCGAAAAGTTGTATATAACTGCATATATTTAATACATTTTATAATTTGGTAAAAAACTCTTTCATATACTTCCACCTGTCTCTAAAGCTCTTTGCCTTTATTGCTTTGTATTTTTGAAAAATAAAAATATATAAGTGCAAAATAGAATTGCAATGCAGCGGATAAAAAAAGACAAAATGACAAAAAATATTTAAAAATTGTCACTTTTGTTCAATATATTTTCAGAAATAAAAATCTACGTGAACATAATTATTGCACAACGTAAGATATAATAAATTACAGAAACATGTTATTTTATACGTTTCGCGCAGAAAAAAAGTTCGGGATTAATTGCATCTTCAGCTGCGCATAACATAATGTTATGCAAATACACGCAAATCTTTATACGTGGCCAAGAGCGATTTAATTAAATGCGTTGCGGTAAACTAGAAATGTACGTCCCCTCTGCTAATTACATAACTCCTTGTACATCGGTTATGCTAGGAAAATAAATTGCATGCAAACGCGACCTTACTTTTTATCACCGCTGTGATATCTTGAGTGACGTGCGGCGGAAACTGTCCCAGAAGATCAAGCACCGTGTTTTGTCGAGAATCCCTAATGCCCAAATCCACCCCACGATCTAAAAGTGCCCGTACAACTTCCATCTTGCCGCAGAGCGCGGCCTCGTGCATCGCAGTGCCCGCTGACGTCCTCGTATTGACGTCAACTCCAGCGGCAAGAAGGACTTCCACGACCGCTCTGTAATAATATTGTACAAACATCTCATTGCATTTTACTTTACATCTCGAATAACAAATATGATAAAGCTCGTAAAATTTCACATAATTATTCAAAATATTTATGTAAAAAAAAAATTAAAAATGTGCCACTATATAAATAACTTTTCATTTTATTATTTTAAAAATATAAAATAAAAAATATAAATATCGAAACTAAAGTAATAATTTGCTGGGGTTGTAATATTTGAAGTTTACGCTAATTTTCAGATAAGATAGACACTAGTTTTAAGGACACTAGTTTTAAGCGACATTCAGTGATCGAAACATTTCGATTCTGCGATTTGAGCTGTCCATCCTATAAGCTATCCAAACTTTATAAAAACTACATCAGCATTTAATAGAAAGCTTAAAATGCAGATTTCGTGCATGGCACGCCCTCCTTCCATCGGGTTAAGTGCATGCCATGCACCGACTACGATGACCGCAGCCGTCCGTCGCATATAGGATTGGCGGCTGAAGATCGGATTCGTATGCACCTATGTTGTTATTACCGTAGCATAGGGGTATTTGTATACTGGCTTACCGAGAGCACCGATATTGAATCCGATAATAGACATTACTCCGCGTCCGTCTCCCTCCCCCAAACTGATCCCTCTCTGCCAGTAACCCCCTCGTCCTCCTATTTTAGCCCCATATAGCTACGTTGGTAGATCCACTAAATATCGTGATGCGCGCGTGAAACGCGTGCGTGAGTTCGACCAGCGCAATGTACGCACTCCCCGTACGTGGCCGTGTGCGCACATATACACATCAGAGATTCTCAAATCTATCGAGATATCTTGTAACATGTACTAATAAATATTTAGAACGGAAAAGAATTATCGTTTAAATAATCAAGAATATTATAAAAGCGAAAAGAAAAATGTAAAATACACTAACAATGTAAGATACATATGATTTTTTTTTTAATAATACATTTCTTTAACATTATTAATATAGATTATAGATATGTAACTTTCTGTGATCCGTAATTCACGACCAGTTACAAAAATACATTCGTACAGATCTTTATTAACGCATCGAAATTTTTGTCATCCCTCAAGAGTTTTTTTATAGGTGCAGTTTGAGAAACGCTGATCTATATACATATATACATATATACATATATACATATATACATATATAGCCCAAACGTTCAAACAGTTCGTGCGTACGCGTTCGCACTCGTATAGGCGCAAACGTCTCGCGCGCCGTTATTTAACCAAAATTCGAGCGATAAAATGTCACGTTCCGCACGCTCTCTCTCGCTCTCACACGTCCAACCCCACACCGCCCATCCCTGACCAATTCTGTTGCACCCTCGCGCCGGCATCGACTGAAAATGCAGCCACCGGACTGTATATCGCGATACGATCGCATTATAAGCGGCAAGCGCCGGTTAAAGCGATTATTGGCTGCGAGGCTGCATAGAAAAACCGGCGTTATACCCGATTACAATGTGACTGCCGTTTCGTGGCGATTCACGATTCGATTCGACCGCCAATCGGACTGTTACCTCCGTTCATCCTCTCGCTATCCGCCACTTTCGTCTCCATAGCGTCGATTATATAAAAAGCTCAACGGGATTACAGACTAACATCGCCCTGTTAAACGAGAATGTATCACGTGGCACGAAACGACCAGGTAACGGAGACGTTATGGCGCGTGATACCAAAATAAAATTTGCTACTAACCTAAGAGACTAATGATCTTTCACAATCATCGAAGAATATAGCGGCGGTTATATATAATCTTCACCATCTGATCACACATAGGTCGACGTAATCGATTATCCGCTTGCTTCTTTGTCACCCTATTACGCGGCTCAATTAATTGAATAATATTACACAAGATATATGATTATGATTATGACATTATTTATCTATATAGAAGCTTCTTCCACTCCAGTTCAATACCTGATGTATGGCTTATTTTACTCGTAATATTTTATATCCGTCATATATTTTCTATAAGCAGCATAATATTAGAAGTTTATCCATCTTTTTTCGAGATACAGAAGAATGGTATTTTACCAAAGGGAGAGTCGCGACCATTCGTTGCTACGGTCGCGATTAATATAGGTCGATACGTTTCGGCGGCAGTGATTAATACGATTCTCGTAATCGGGAGGCGGTCAACAATCCGCACGGATGGACAGAGCGGCTACCGGCGTGATGCGATCGGATGCATTCGCGTGGCTCGAGGAGGGACGAGAGGGCAATCGACGGGATAGTAATATGGAACGTGTAACCAGTAGAGGGTTGGATCGGATCATGCCAGTCGAAGGACGCATATATCGCATTCGACGGGATTACGCAACGCGGTGCTCTCTGATTGGCTCTAATGGCTACCGCTGCAAATGGCTCGACATCGTTATGGTTAGCTCGAACGAGTCCATTGTTGTACTTGGACACAATACACGTCGCGCATTATTCAGTAATTAGTGTGACCATTTCGCGGGAAGAAGTGATACACGGTCCTTAGATAAACACAAATGAGTACACGAATAATGGCGCTGACATTGCTATCATGGTCATCGTCATAAAATATAAGTAAATTATTTTAAAAAAAGAGAAAATGATATGCGTTTTCGAAATGAGATTATTTTATAAAAAGTTATTTTGTAAAAAAGTCCCCTCAAATGTAACAGTTAAAAGTTAATTCTAATAACACTTTTTAATGATTATATAACAAATTATTCTCTTACATACGTCAGTAAATAAACTCTTACCTGTGACCATTGCGTGAAGCTAAATGCAAAGGTGTATGTGGGAAGATCAAAGATGAGGAAGAATTACGAAGTGATTCGATTAATTCGGGATGCGTTCGCACGAGTAATTCCACCGTTTCCAATCTGTAAGAAATACCACGATTATGTTACGATTACATGTCTATTCTTAGCGAAAATATGCTGTATCGATTGTGAAATAATATTTAAAAATATGTAAAGTATATTAAAAAAATATCTAAAAAGCTGAAAGATATCATTTATATATGCAATTTACCTGCCATATTGTGCAGCCAGGTCAAGCGCAGATTCTCCGCGACTGTTGCGGATACTAGGGTCACATCCGTACTGCAACAGCTGTGCCACCACTTCCGTATGCCCATACTGTGCGGCACAATGTAGTGCGGTTTCATTATCCTTCGTCTGTAATCAAAATATTTAGTTTTTTTTTTTTTTTTTTGAGAAAAGTGATATCTATTGATTCGTAATGTCTGTCATTGAAATTAAATTAAAAATTATAAACTGTATTTAAACATTACAATAGTACGATAAGTTTTACTTATAACGCACAGAAAATAATTTCTCATAATATTTAATGAAACATCCGGAAACTCTTGAAATATACTCTGACATGATCAATTTACGCGCTTATGTCACAAAACTTTTGTAAGATCGATAGTTACTAACTGTTACTAACCGCTAGATTCACTTTCGGTACCGACGGACCTTGACTGAGAATTAATCGTACAATTTCCGCGTCACCCGCCCAAGCTGCCAAATGAAGCGGCGAGGAACCCTTAGCGTCAACGACATTGGTGGAAGCCTCATATTGGAGTAGTAATTTGACCACGTCTCTGTAAATAAAAGTTTTAAAGAACATTAGACAAAATAACAGACCAGTTTTATTATTTAATAATTAAAAGCATCAAGATCTTAATATAAAAAACATTATGAAGTATTTCTTTTTATTAAAAGTATTCTAGATATTGTACCTGTGCCCATTCAAAGCTGCGTGATGAAGGGCTGAATATCCACTGGCATCTTGCACATTAGCTCCTGGTCCTCGACGTAAACTGCAAATGGAAATATTTCTCTCAATCATATGATAAAAAAATCCTTTAAATTTTGATTGCTAAATCGCAATAATTTAAATAATTTTGCAAAATACCGAAACTACATAAATGTGAAATATATAACGATAGGTTTGAATATTTTAAAAATAGTTCTATGCGTGAATTCAAAATGCGGAACTTAATTTACAAAAAAATCAATTCGTAATTTAAAAGTTGTTTCAACGTCAAATACATTAAATGTCGCGATTCTTTTTGTTCTGCCCCTAATATTCGCGATTTGAAAGTGCGCGATTTTCGGAATATCGTATACAGATTTTTTACAGCGCCGCGTTAGGCGAAAAATATCAGCGAATTGTAAACGATTAGATGGTGCAATGTGCTTCGAGATAGGAACAGGCTCGCTAATGAAGCTTCCTGCGTCCAACACATGTTCTCATTACGCGCCTTTGTTGCGCTCGCGCAGAGATAAATGTCGCGCCCCCGCAAACACCGTGTAAACGACGGCTCCCTCGGGAAAAGCGGAAGAGACGTTATATAGCGCGCTGCTCTCCAGCGACTTATGACTCTCGCCCTCGTCGCCTTCCTGCTTCCTTTTATTGAATCGGATATCCAGATATTCCTGCAACGCTTTGCCCATAGAGGAATTTCTCGTTATCCCATCTCTCTCCAAGTAGATTTGATTGGAGGAACGAAGGGTAAAGCGGGGCCGGCAGCTATTCAGCCGCCCTCGAAGCGTTGAGTATCCGCGTTCAAAGGCGCTCGAATTGACTGGATTTCGAGAATATCCAGAAAAAGGGCCGAATAAAGTTTATATAAAAGTGAATTCCTTTTTTATTTTTACAAAGCGTAAAGATGAGAGAGTATTAACCGCCATAAAAAAATTTAAGCGCATAATCAAAAACAATTTTTAAAAAGCTTACAGTTGGCAACATTGGCTATGTAAACTAAATATTTAGCAATAACGATGGATTTACATGAAAAGCTGTATTTAATATTTTCATTTCACAATCAAATTCAAATAACTGCCGAAAAATAGCTATCTGGCAGTATTTTAATATTGTACACTTATTATTGTAATAATAATATCATTATCAATACTTAACTTATCCGCTAAATTTATAGCTTATTATTTTCTCATGATTTTATGAACGTATGCAAGGATTAAACTCTAATGTTACAAGCCTTAGAAAGTTGTTGTTAAAGAATATTAATAAGAAAAATATATTGTTATTGAGACTTTACTTTGATAATATCGTGACATATATCTTTAAAAAAAATAAAAAATTAATAATCTATATATAATATATACAATCGATTATTTTTATAGTATAATCGCATCGAAATACGTCTTAATGAGAAATGTCATAAGCAGCAATAATGTTGACCTTAGGTGACTAATAAATACCATAGCTCAAGCACATGAGAGAACGATATTTACACAGCTCTCATATAACTTCGATATGAAGAGTGAAGCGCGAAAATACATATACGTATATGTACCCTCAATCTATCGTTCAGAAAGCAAACTTACGAATATCAGGAATTATAAATGAGTTTTTTCATTGAGAATCTAACATATAATAAATATAATAAATATACTTGTATGTAATATACATATGGTAAAATATATTCAAATATTCTACAAATGCTTTGATATGCAGGGCAATTGATCAAACGTGATCGTGCAGGCGATCAATTTAATTGACAATTAAATTCAAAACGCAATCTATAATTAAATCACCGATTGCTATCATTGTCCGTATTAGTTCCAAGCAATCTAAATCGCTAGAATCCGTTATCGACCGCAAACTCGCATGTATATGAGAGAATGCAAGGGACTTTTCCCTCGTCAAGGGAGCGTATACACACATTTCAATCCCACACGCCCATGTGACGTCGCCGTCAAAGCATCGCGCTCAGTTTACAAAACAATTACGTAAGCGGGAGATTTTTTCCACTACGAGCGGTACATCAAAGCGCGTCGTCATTAACTAACGTCATCATTAACCCCTCGAAGATATACGCGTTTTAAATCGTTGACTTTCTGTACGGCACACGACGATCGACGTAGGCTCAAGCTCTCCCCTCAGCTCCTCGAGAAACTCTTATACCATTGTAATGGAGATCAAAAAAAAATTGTATCGTACAAGAGCGACATTACAAGGTAAAACGGGCGCACCATTCAACTCAAAGAAAAACTGCGCGGCATGAAGAAAAATAACGAGCATCGCTGACATCAAGAGAAGTATGTGTGTTTGATTTGTTTTTCGACTATCTCGCAGAATGCATCTTTGATTATCGGTTTATCAACGATTAATTTTTTCTTTGTGGTTAATTTCGTCTTTTTCTTACGATGCAATATGTAAGCTTTAAGCCTCGATTGCACATCTCTCTTCTTCCCTCTCCCTCCTCTCTCTTTCTCTCTCTATTTATAGCGTCACTATTTCTCTTTCTCTCTCGATCGAGCTGAGATGGGTGTTTGTTTTCCGCACCCTAACAACAACAAGGGTGGCGCACAATTCTTAAAGCCATACACGCTGCACCGTCATGCGTGCACGTTTCCACACATACATGAGCAAAGTGCACATGAACTATATCGGAATGACCAAGGAGCACTCGCGTGCCCGACCCTGGTTAGTGAAGAACATTCGACTCTCTTTTTCTACTTTCTTTTTCTCTCCTCTTCTTCCCTACGTTGTCCTTTCGCTTTTCGGTCGCCCCATTCATCGAGTTCATCCGCTCTCCCAAGTTCCTTAATTAAACCCGGAAGATTGTCTGCAAAAAGGACATCGTCTGGTACCCTGTCTCTGAACATTACGAATGAAACGACGAAGGGACAGGAGAAATATAGACAGACAGGAGGACGATCATTGGTGGAAAGACCGTCTGTCGGACACCGTATAATGGTAATTTCTTGTTGGTCTTAATCAAGAAGTTGCGTAATCGAAATGAATATCGTAGGTTAACTTTTAGTACTTTAGTTTACATGTGTACGTGTAATCCTGATCATAAGTATTGGTTTTCCAACTTAACAAAAAGGAACAAATATTTATCTAAATAACATAATTATATGAGCACAATATTTTTAGTACATTAATAGTATAAATCAGAAATATAAAAAGTATTACAAATATTTAAGTAATTTTAATATTTAAATAATTGTAAACATATATTTACAACATATTCTTTTATAAAACTTTTATATACAGTACTTTTTTATATTTCTCTCTTATATCTACTCTTTTATATCTCTCCTTAATTTAAATTTCCTAAGAATTTATATTAATAATATAAAGTGTAATAATGTTTCAAAAATAGTGAGAAAATAATTTCATGAATCTTAATGTTCTTGTTGTAATTACTATATCGTATTAGAAGGGATTAAGAACAGATATATAGAATATACATTTATGCATTATAAAGAACAACGTGATGCGATAACGAATATATTTACATACAAATATAATATATTAATGAAGTTAAGAATATATTAATGAAGTTAAACATCTTAAGAATAGAGAAAGACAAATATAAAACACGGATAAACGAACTTCTATAAAGCTCTTTTCGATGCCGTTGAACGTGAGTATTTAGCGCGAACGCACCCTTCTGCCAGAGGCGAAGCGAGGAAAACTAGGCTGAGAGAGAAAGACAGAGAGAGAGAGAGAGAGAGAGAAAGAGAGAGAGAGAGAGAGAAAAGAAAGAGAAAGAGCGAATAAAGAGGAGGAAGAAAGAAAGACAGAGATGGGAAAGGAACGGAGAGGGAACGAGAGCGTGAGAGGGAAGCTGCGAGGGTGTATACGTGCGAGGGGTGCTAGGGCATCAATCGATAGTTTCCTCCGGCAAAGAAGAGAGCTTGTACGTGCTGACGTAGCCGAATGTCCTTCTTCGAGAACACTTCGCGACAGGTGCCTTAAAAAAAGAGATTACCAAAGCATTTGTATTTAATGCAATTATATAGAGAGTGTTTTAAAGTAGAATAATAGTCTTGAACATGTGAACTTGATTTTCCCTCAATAAAAAATTAATAAAATATTATGATTCTACAATAAAAATATGTCAGTGTATGCCAAACAAACGTGAATCACTATAATATAATCATATTATTATATATTATATTATAATCATATATTATATTATTAATTATATTATATAATATAATCAGATTATTATTATATTATTATATAATCTATCGATTAGGATTCATGGAATTTCAATCATAATATATACTTACATAATTGATCTACCAAAAAATATTTCTAATAAATTCAAATTTACTACATTGTGTACGTAAACTACAAATGTTCATATTACGTATAATTTAATTAATATATATTGATTTTTATATGTTTTCCACACTCAAAAAAAATTCTCATGATCCTCTCTCACGAAGCTGATGATTAAAATTATCACACTGATCACACAAAGTCAATAGAGTACAGGAAACAAAGAATAAACACATTCGCGGGCGTTCGTACATGAAAAGTAGTGCGTCCACTTCGCGATTAGCATCGCAAAATATTCTCGGCTCCCCCGCCGGAATGATGCCAAGGGGCTCGGAGGGGACGCTCTCTCAGGACGGTCGCGTTTTATATTGCTTTTCTGTGATCTCGACGAGGAGGGCAAAAAGGCAAGCGCGCGTCGGGCGGTGAAGAGATCGCGGAGCAGCGAAGAGAGATCGCGCGAGAGAACTTGCCGCAGGCTGACTTTGTAGTTATGAACAAGTTGCACAGCACCGACGACAGACACGAGAGACAATTCGTTAGAGAAGCGGCGCGTTTGTCATGATACATTTAAGAATCACCGAAAGCGAATTTCCCCTCTTCTACCAACTCTTAAAGGAAAGAAACTGTAAATATTTCTTCTTCGCTTCAATTTTTTATATTTAAATTATATAAGTATATGTTATTTAATTATGATGAAATTCTGTTGCATTTTGCTTAAATTATTGATTTCTTGATAATCGAGATTTGACAGTAAGTCAATATTTTTGCTAAATGTCACGAATCATGGTTCAATTTCAATATTTAATTCAAACTGAACTGCAATTGATATTTGATATGTATTTGCTATTTTTATAATTTGTCTTCTTATTTTAAACATATCAAATTTTTTTGGCATTCATCTTGAGCTAAGAGAGAAATAAATATAAGGCCCGGTAGTGTATATTTGTCAATATACTTTATTTGTATTTATCTTGACAAGAGGTTTGCTCCAGAATAATAAACAGATTTTTCTCTCTCCCTCTCATTTGTCGTTTCTTACCTCTTTGCATCAGTCGCGCGACGCTTTTATAATGCGTGAATACGCTCGTAGCACGTGTGCACGCACGCATGCACGCACGAGTCTCTCAAAAAAAGAAAAAAAAGCAAACCATGAGCTTCTTGCGCTGCCGCCGCAGCGTGACTTAATTAATGGGAGGGCGAGGAGCATCGACAAAGTCAGTCTTTGTCGAGAAGTTCGTGGCATTGGGTCAATAAAGAGCGCCGTCGAGTCGACGATGGTGTCTCACTAATTACGCGAACATCGCTTGCTCGAAACGACACGATCGGCAATCGCGGTATAATTAAATGAAGCGAGGATGCGACGCGATAATAAATTCATTCGGATTTACTTCTCAAAGTTCGATCGATTCGTTTTACACATCTAGTGATTATCGTCTGTTTATATGCGATGATTTATAAACATTAAAGTTTCTTTGTATCGTATAATTTTTAAATAACATCTAATTAGAAAGAAAAGGAGAGATTAATTTATATTATATTTACATTTTATTTTTTTGGTATCAAACATATTAAAAAACTTTTTGGTTTTCACAATTTTGAATTTTTTTTACCTAAATAGATTTATCTGTCTCAAAAATTATATGATCACATTGAGAATATAAATACAAGCCTTACAATAGTTTGGTTGTTATATATAAGATAAAAATTTATTAGAAATAAATTTATAAAAATTTATTAAAAATAAAGAAATTAAAAATTAGGGAGACTTGATATAAAAATTTAATTATCAGTCATACAAAATATATATAGCAATATTAAATAAATAAATCCCGACTAGTATTTAGTGAAATAAAATGTAAAGTAACTTGTTGAGTTTATTCTCACAATGATTGATTTGAAACTTAAAAAAAATTTTTTGTCATTTCAAAATAATTATATAAGCTTGAAATGATATTATGAAGAAAATGGGGCAGTATAGATAATGCCTTAGTATCGCGCAAATTGATGCAAATATCGTTTGATGGACGCACAGCAGCGCTTGATAGATGAATGAAGGATTGTTTTGCTCTGATTTTGACGATAATGACGACATTGCGTATACACCGGTCGTTAATTTATTTCCGCGCGAAACTTTTTCGTCGAGCTCGAAACGCTCGTTCACGTCTATCCGATTATTCGTCAGCGCGTTCTCGCGAATAAACGCGAAATTACGGGGCATTCCCACGGTAATACATGCGCTCGCAAAACCGTTTGCAATTAGCGTTAATTCATTCACGAAGGATTTAATAGTGCCTGCGCCGCGTGAAAAGATAAAATGAAACCGATCACCATGCTCCGTTCCTTCGCAAGGCCTATCGTACACGACGCGTTATCGGACCCTTGAAAATAAATAGCTCGCTAAATAGATCCATCTATCTATCACCGCAAATAGAAAATGGAGCGACTCGACAAGCCTGTTGCAGGCAATAGTCAGAGATAGAGAGGAGCGATATAATATATTTTCGCACGAGAGAGATAAGACTTCATATTCCTAGACTCTTGCCCTATATTTTTTTGCGTTATTATATAATTTCTTAACACTATATAAAAAAAAATATAAATGATAAATGGTGCTAATTATTTTACTTTAGTAATCTAAAGAAGGAAATATATTCATATGGCTTCAGATAATTGACAGCAAAGTCCTTGCTCGATATCAACGCATTTGCATGAAACATCACCAGTATGATTCATCGTTATGATGAAAATAGCGAACGAGATCGTTAAACAAAATACTGCTATTGACATTTAGCACAATTATATTTCAACATAACTATTCTTCTTATAACGGAACATAATTTAGTCGCTATATTCATGTTTTACGTTCATTATTGATATAACATTAATTAAAATTAATTACGTGAGAATTAAATAAAAAAATATTTAAATAAAATTATTATACTAAACATGATACATTAAATTTTATTTATATTATATCAAATACATTTAATATTAAAACGTTACCGAATCGACACGTAAAATTGAAACCTCGGTAACGCGGTCATATTTACGACCGAGATTAAAGCTGGAAGAGCGGGCACAGTAATTATATAATTAACGATAATATAGAACTAACGGCAAAAATCCTGGAGATTAGTCAATCGTGACAGGATTAATCGAATGATGCGATATGTTCCATCGAGCATGAGGCATTATCGTAAGAAGCGTCAACATATAAAAAAAAGAAAAGACGACCAGGTACGTGTACTCATTCATTCTGAGAGTGCATTTACCTCGATCGCGCGAGTTTCTCCATCGGTTGCCACGAAGAAAATGACGAAATCGTACGAATTGTGCGTAGGACGAGAGGTATCTTTGCGGTAGCCTTTCGCTAATCGGCGAAACACGAAACGGAGCACGAGATGTGCGGCGACGGTTCGATAATGGAATGCGCGAGACGACGTCTCGTGCCCATGTCGACGATTCCGGTCGAGACCGAAGATATCGTTGGATCTCGCCGAAAGGCCGAGAGGCAACGTACGGGATCGGGGACAGGGACATTATCTCGGTAATGAGGAAAGGCGGCGGCGAGCGAAAAGTGTCAAGCCCGCTGCTACAGTGACACCCACCTTGCCAGTGGACCACTCCTCTTGGCTCGCTGGCCGAGGATCTTCTCGACCACGGTGACGTTGCCGCTCCTCGCTGCCTCGAGCAGCTCCTGATCCTTGCCCATAGTCCATTTACACCGCGATCAAGCCGCGATGTTCGCCCGCACACTTGTCAATTTGTGTTTTCACTACGATTACTCGCGTTTCATTGATCCAACGTAGCCATCTTGAATGAACTGGCGCGCCGCCACGCGGCGACCTCGCGAGGCTGCGGCGTACGAGACTACGGTTCACGAGACTACGTGAGCGCGAGCGGGAAAGCGTTGAATGAACGGTGCGAGCGAGACGGCGAGTCTCGCACGTGACGTGCGCGCGAGCGCCGCGACGTGCACAAGCGCCGCGAATGTGAACGAGAGCGTGGTGAGCCGAGCGGGACCGAGCGGGGCCGGACGGGGCCGAGTCTCGCGGAACAGCTGTTGCGCCGTACTGATTTTTCGTCGCGACGAGAACGCCGGTTCTAAACTCCGTGGTTATTTGAGCGAGTAAGTACGTGACACGCGTCAGTCGAAATGCAACGAATCGTTCTTACCTTTCTCTTGGCTCTAACATTATTTCTCGATGAGGCGACGTTAGAAAATACGACAACGCACAACGAGTCTGCTTCGGGTAAGTTATAACCTCAATTTGTTCGGCGAGTTGCTCGGACAACTTGTAAACATTCGTCGCATATATGTTTTATGTTATGTATCCGTGACTGCATTCAATAAATAATTAATCGATCGTTTCTACGATTAGATTTATGAATCTATACGTCTGTCATACGCAATTATTGTTCAGAATACGTCTTGTGATTAATGTCTTGATTTATTTGTTACAAAATATAACAGTTTAATAATTACATATATAGATTCTTTGTATTTTTCACTTTATATCTAGTACTATCTATATGTAGAATTATTTATAGGTTACTTGCTCGCGTGACTAATTATATAATATAGATTACATATGAAAATATTAAACAAAGATTTAATGTCTTATAATAATAAAGTATATTTATAATGTAATTACTTATTCATTCTAGGAATATTCTTGTTTTGAAAATATCTTTGGTTTTAATGTGGAAACCTTGAAATGAGGATATATTACATTATTGAAGAAAACTTGCTTGAAATGAGTGATATATACATATGTGATATATATATATATATGTGTGTGATATATATATATATATATGTGTGTGTTTATATTTGAGATAAAATTATATTACATTAACTGGAGAAAGCTTGTTTGTATGAACTATTTTATATAATTCAATTAAGAAAATTATATTCTCATAAATACGCAAGAATATATATTTCATTGTGTATATCGCTTATTTCAAGCAAGTTTTGTTCAATTAACGCAATATATTCTCATTTCAAGATTTCTGTATTGAAACTAAAGATATTTTCAAAATAAGAATATTCTTTTTCTTTATATAAGAATCAAAAGATAGAATTTGATATATTGCGTTACAGATAGTGTTGGAATTACAGTATCTTTATGGAATCATAATAAGAATGACGCATTCAAGCAACGAATAAATTTAGTTCCATTCAATCATTTAAACATAACTGTGACAGATATTCCATCAGATATTTGGTTTATTATATTACAAATTCATACATTTCAATATAATGCTACGATAGCTTACAATAATGAGTTGCTTGATAAAGAATCAAGCAGAAGTCTATTTGGATCCAACATTGGTTTGTACTTAAAAACACATAATGTAACAACCCCACTACAGGTATTTTTGAAGCACAATAATGTATACAACCTCGATGCATTACTCGTGATTGTCGCGTACGATCAAAATGGTAAGTACAAATAATATTAATGAATTCAATATCATATATATGTGTATATCTTCCTTTCACATTTTCCTTTTCCGAGTAACATTTAATCGAATTAAATCTAACGATGGCATAAAATGGTGTCAATTAAAATAATATAAAATTAATTGCTATATTATAAAATAATTGTGTACAAGGGAATATTATCTGCTTGATAAAGATCGAAAAATTACATATTATAGTAAATTAAATAGCCGTGTACGTGATGTTGATCATGCGATAGAGTAAATCGTAAATCATATCAAGAAATATATATTCGATTAATTTGCGATACATTTCCATTATCAGTCGTGTGTAAATGGGTTGAATAGCTAATCGTTTTCAACGGTGAACGTAATGGTAAAATTGGTCGAGTATCGAGAGAATTCACCGATGTCGTTCATTGGTCGATTATTGTTCTCCACAGCACCGATACCGGGTGGCTGCAACATGGAATTCGATATTGAGGTTGCACCGTATCAAAAGCTGCATATAGAAAATGAAATGATAATAGTCGATAGCCAGCCAGCTTCGATACTCGCTAACAGGTCCCTGATTTTTTGCGAAATAAATCCGATGCAACACAAAATGTACCGTCTTTATCTGCCTAGGCAAGATTTTACTCCGGAAACATACTTCGAGGCGATCGCGAGTATGCTGACTACGCAAAACATTTTGCAGAATGGCGACGAGGTATCTCATGATATGACGATACTAACCTGGAGAGATGAAATTTCAGTCCTAAGAGATTCGTAGAATTCATATAGCATTATCGTCACGGTTATCGTTATTTCCTCTCATTCAATTTCTTTTGATTTACATGCATTACGTGGAGAAAATATTAAAGTAAAAATTATTATATAATTTTTGTAATCGTGAGACACACATATACTGATTTATATAAATTATGATATTTTTATCCACTAATATATTATATTATATTTTACAAAGAAGTATCTATTTATTCAAATATTTTGACGTAACAAATGTATAATCGTTAACAAATAATAAAATAAATGCATAATTTACAATTTTTATATCTTTCTATCTTTTCGTTATATTTCGATAATAATATTGTAAAAGAGAATTTTTCATAAAATTTATACTGTAAAATATATTTTCTCCGTGTAAAATGTGTGTGGGAACATTTGCAATATAATAACGATTAACTGATAGAGAAAATTAATAATGAAAATTATTAGGTCTTAGCTTATTTTCAAAGACAGAACACTTTATAATTACATGTATGAATAAAAATATTTTTGGTAGGTGCCGCTTGCTCTTATGAAGACCCTTATGAGACATATTTACAGTGCATATACTGGTACAGGATCTGTTTATGCCGTAATTGCTACTTATGGCAATTATTCTTCAGCTTACATTCCGATTTTTACATATGCTTGCAGTCCATTAGTATATCCGGAGACTTGTCAAATTTTAAGTACGTTTTATTTTACGAATTTTTGTGTCAGATATAAATTAATATTTTTTACGATAATGATGAATATAGTAAGTCATATTTAAAATGTTATATATTTCTGTGTACGAGACATGTATACATACATATATATTTTATGATGAATTAAAATTATTAAAATTAAAATTATTTTTTTTATAAATCAATAATGTAATAGATGGATTATTTTGGGAGATAAATTTTCTTTATTTTTGGATATACATTTTCTTTATTTTTTCTCTAGATTTCTAACAAAATATTTTCAATTAACATTGTGAGATTGTGAAATTGTGTATGTCTATAAATTGTTAAAGTAAAATTGTTTCTTGTTTCATCGTTTTTTTAGATGACACGTTCGCAAAGATGATTTGCGCATTGGTTCTAATCATAGGATTTCTTTCAATTATTATCGGACATAAATATGCTTCCACAGATCGTTTAATATCGAGTTGTATGATGGGTGGTATTTTTGGATACATTCTAGCAATAAGCATTAATGACTACAACACTGCAAGTAATTATACATCAGCTTTTATATGAAAAATTTCAATAAAATATATAATATTAAATATATTTATATAACTTACCTCAAAGTGCACGCATTCTCATGGCTGTTATCTTTTACAGTTAACATGCTGATAGGTTCAATATCTGCCATTCTTGCCGTAGCCTTAACGTATCCATTAGATTCAATTTCCAACTGTACGTTCCTGTACAATTTACCATTAGGATTTCTGTGTTCATGCATCGCATACCTCTACGCTCCAGGTAAGTTATATTTTAAACAGAACCGTATTTTTCATAAGATAATTACAAGGTTTCTAATATTAAATGAATAAGTTATTTTACGTGCTCGATCCCAGGGGGTTTTCGTAATGAACCATTTCTTTTCGCGATAATTAATTTATTTCTTAATTATCGTCCAATATTACAAGTCTTGTAACTTCACGAAATATGATTCAGCATACAGCATACGTGGAAAGCGAAGGCGGAAACCGTAGCCTCTCCACGCCGCGATGCTCGCGAAGGGCTGTTGCGAATTATAGGAAAATAATGAAAGCCAGGCTTAAAAGCGGAGGGATAGAGCGCGCGACCGTGGGTGGGAGCACCGCCGCTACCCCGAAGTTAGTTCGAGTTTGGCGAAGGGATGAGAGGCGCACAGTCAGTTTCTCCCCGTAGCTTCTATCAATGCTGGCCGCTCATGTGGAAACCTCGCCCGTCGAATCCCCCATGCAGAAGCGGTATAGCGCATTCACGTTGCCTCCCACCTTTCTCACCATAACGCCGCGACTACCCTTCGCCACCCTCGCTCAAGTACGAACGCAAAAATGCGTTCACCACCGCGCGCGGAATTGCACGCACACATCGGTCTCTCCCTCCTACGGTGCGAACTCCCACGGCAGGGTATAACCAGCTTGGAAGATTCGCATTTACCTAATTGTGTCCCCGTATTTATTCTGCGCCGGGACCTATTTAGATTACACGATGCGTGCATACGCAACTGCACAGGCCGATCTAGCCCGTCGACAGATGATCGCGATCGTTGTTTACTTTGAGCCGACCGTTCGGCAGACCAATGTTAAAACGCACGATTATGTTGTAACAGAAAGCCCGTTGGTTAATCGCCGAAATTTTCGCGCGCGATATTGGCATACGTTGAAATTATCATGATAAACACGAGTATATTATAGTTTATAATTTGGAATATTTTTCTTTATAGCATGGATGTTTTATATCCTGGAAAATAATTTGTTATTCTGGCTTATGTTCGCAAGCTTAATGGTTACGATTGCTATACTTTTGTCACAGATGCCTTATATCGCGAAAATACTCACGCGAGTCGTTTTTGGGTCTTATTTCATGATTATCGCTATTGATTATTATACGGGAAGTAATTTAAAGTATATTATTCTTACTTTTATCAGAAGAATCACTATATCTGAATTTCGCTTAGCATTTGTATATCCACCGTATCAAGATGCAGGTATGTTGCTTTCTTTGTTGTAAAAATATTTGATATTGACAGTATTTTATTAAGACCGATTATTTTCAGATGTAACTTTGACAATTATCTGGTCTATGCTGATAATAACACAGTTTATTATACAAGGGTGCGCCAAATGGTGTAATAAAAATATGTGTTGTGGTAGAATCTGGGATGCACACAATATATTATTGATTATACGAAGCACCAAACTATGGAATAGAAGAATATCTGTAGAATCTACAGAGGATTATACAGAAAGATATTTTTTTGCAAAACAAAGAGAAAAATCTTACATATGATATTATCGGTCAAATAATCAATATGGTATATAACAGCATATACATCAATTGTTTATATAAACTATAAGATTTAAGTTTTTCAAATTTGTTGAAATTTATTACTTTAGTTGTCAAAAATAATTATATTTGCAGCAATTTTGCTTATCCTCGTTAACTGTTGATCTTAAATCATTTCAGTTAATACTTATAAATGTATAAGTATAAATTAGTATATAATACAAACCTGTTCTATGTTTAAATCATTTTGTGCTAAATACAAAACAATGTAATATATATTAATTAAAATGTAAAATTTTGTATAACAATGATGTGTACAACATTTATATTTAACATATAAATTGTATTTTTTACTTATTTTAATTTATTTCTGTTTAGTGATTGTGATGTTTATTCGTGTTTTAATATGCAAAATGTATGTTTTTTTATGTAACTTTAAAACAGAGTAACAACTGTGATAATCAACAATAAAATGATAATTGTAAAAGATAAAGTTGTACATCATTGTAAATATTTTTTTATAATATAATATTATAATAATATAATATTATAATAATATAATATTATATATATATATATATATATATATATATATATATATAGATACTTATAATAATTTTTGTTAATATTATGTAAGAGTTTGTATAATGTTTGTATAGGATAAAGAATATACATGAATGTTATGAATAAATAAGTGAAATGATTTGGCATTAAAATGAAATAACATTTATTGAATTGAGATAGTGACACCTAACAGTTCTCTATTTCCTACTACTTACAATCTTAAAATTAATCACAGCAACAATATTATCTCATTATTCACAACACTTACATAGATTATACTGTCGTAATAATATATTATTCTCATTAATAAATTTGTTAATACTCGTACACTGTATTTGTTATTAGAGTAGTATTATTACAGATAATAAGAAAGTCGCGTAACCACTTCCGCATAATGTTTGTTGCATAACGATGAAAGCATAATTCCGCTGAAACGCATTTTACATGCATAAAATTGCGGTAACGTTCAATTCGCAAAAGTTCTATCATAAAGGTAACATAATAAATGAGAGTCACTTTAATCTACTTTACGCGAAACGCACAGCCTGTTGCAAGTGCAGCTCCTGTTTGTAGAGAATCCCTCATGAAAACGTGTATGATAAGCGACCATTCGTGGAGATGCATACTGAATTCATCTCAAAGTACTTTTTACTAATGATAGTAAACGTCGATGAAAGTTACAAATATTTTCAGAGTTTATTTTTTAGATTTAATAATTTCATCCCATTTCAGTAAAAAAAAATTATAAGTCGTGAAATAGCATATTTGCATACGACATATTCAAGTTTGAGAGATTTTATTTTTTACTTTTAGTGATAGAAAAAAATTAATCCAATTCTAAAATAAATATATATAATTTAAAATAGATAAATTAATTATAACACAAGAATGTCGAAATTTATAAAAAGAACGTCAAATATTGCAACTACTGCGGACCTTCATCGTTTTATGGATTCTCTGAACACTGGACACTTTTCTTATTTCTCTCTTTCTTTTTCTATCTTATTTTTCAAAGTTATATAATGTGACGATGTTATACAAGCAACAATTTGTACAAACAACAAAATTATAAAATATTTTATACATCTAACAAAAGATCGTATGAAAGAAAATTGTACATGTAATTTAATACTGAAAAAATTATTTCAAATATTTCTTTTACATGAGAATAAATTGGTGTATAATAAGGAAGTGGCATCGGTAGATTTAAATAAAAATTGTTACGGACTGAAAATTTATCATCGCGAGATTTTAAAGCGGCGGCGTCTAGCTACACCAAAGATTTTCCACTTTTAAATTTCATGCTGCTTTGTTTTCGTTTTCTTCCAAAAATATAAATTTACTAATATACAGTACACACACCTTTCCTCGTTAAATGCTCTTCGAATACAAACGTTACACAAACTTACACGAGCTCTACGTGGCCATGTAAACGACAACGATAAAAACGAGCCGTGCTCTTCTCTAGGTGGTGTAACTTTACATACTTCACACGTTACTGTTTAACACAATGTATATTATCCATGTTTATCTGTCGGCTGCTGTTTAATCGTAGAATTCGTCACCTACATTTATTACGGTGCGCGTGAGAATTGTTGATAAAACGATTGTTATGCGTTATCGAAAAAATTAAATGCTTGCAAATATTCACATTGCAACAGAAATATCGGAAATGCTGTCCCCTGAAAAAGCCTGTCGAGTTCTGGAACGATAAAATTCGAAAATATCGAGTCATTCGCTGTTTTCACGCCGTTTTTTTCACACTTACGAATCAGTGACTAATTATTCAACGCAATCGTGCGGCGCGACTCAATTACTAAAAAACGTGCTACATCCCTGGCAACTGGTGATCGAAATGCATCGATTAAATGTATCGCTCACACATAGCCATCGAAATACAATAAGACCGCGCAAGTGATTGGTATCTCTTCTAATAATTCAAAATTATGCCGTCATCTAATTTATCATGCATAATGGAATCGTTAAATTTAATTTGATTATTAAAATTATTGCTGCAAAAATTTTATGATAGAATAATATGTCGCTTGTAAAAAAATTATAATTATATAACAGCAAATAATACGATTGCCTCCTTATATAATTCAATTACTTTCTATATTATTCTTTTAAATAACATATGTATGATATATTGTGTAAAATTCCTGAATTTTTTTGGCATTCTCGTTGATATGCATTTCTATACATATATTGAAATCCGTTCCAAAATTCGTTTTTAAACAAAAAATTCATACAATGTGTTTCGCAAAATGATAGGTGAATAAATGTAGGCTCAGATTATTTGATTTTATTAAAGTTCTGCTGCTTCACGGTGTAAGTAACGGATTTGTCACTTCGATGAGGAAAAACATTGAATACACGGATAAGATTGCATAATCTATAAGACGGGTATGTTCGAACGTAACTGGAATTTGTATGACTTACGTACGTGTATATACAGCGATAATTATTTCTAATTTACAGTACTGGTCTAAAGAGAGTAACAAATGCTATCTTACAATCATCTTTATACAGTATAATCGAAAGAATGGGCTTCGATCGTGTGTGCGGCGACGTTTAACGAGTATGATGCCGATGAAATTTCTCGTTACTGCGAGCACCAATTTTCCGTGATCCGTTTGAAAGAACGAATCTGCCTCTTCGGTCCGTTAGTTCAGCGATACATTTACATTAATAACAATAAATACCGACGTGAACGTCCATGCTACTTGCCTCCTTTGGGCGTTATTTCGACACTTATGAAATCTCTCTATAGTTACGTCGGTTTATTTTTTATGAATTCATACGTCACTGTGCTTTCATTATGGTAATAACGATGATATAAGCTATGGATTGGATTGTCTTAATCTAGAATTCTGTATCTTGGATCGGGATAAACATTCTTATGGAGAGACATGTATTATAAATGAGGAGTTTAAATCGAACATTTCAATTTGCTGTAATTGCTCGTAAATCTGTCAAGTAGTTTACGCGAGGTTTAGAAAAATGCTATTCGTAATGCTACGTCGAGGAGATCTGAAACTTTAATATTGCTATTTTCGACATATTCTGCACACTGATCTCGTGAGATGCGAGAGGAGGTTTCACTATATTTATAATATAATTCAAAACGCGCACATGGCGATTCTTATGCATTTGCGTGTCCAATTGCATTTGCAAAACGCGATGAATCTCAACGTGAAGAACCATTCGCATTAATAACAATAATAATATCTTTATTAAGTGCAATAAATAAATAAGCTACCAAATTTAAAAGAAAATTTAATTTTCTCGAAAAAAATATAAATAAAATATATATAAAACATATTACAAAGTAAATATATATATATATATATATATATATATATATATATATAAATGTTATTGTTTTCTGGGAATATATCTTTCTGGGATTTCCGCGAGCCGTTCGTCGATCGATATACACTGTTCACAAATGGACGTAGACAAGGGCCACGGCATCCTCTCGAGAGTGGTGTCTTCCGACGCCATATCTGCCGGCAGACACGATGGCCGGCCTCGCCGAAAAAAGCTACCCTCCAGGCAGCTATCAACCCTCGCAACCGTTCCCTCCCGCAACGAAATCAGCCTCATCGGGAAACTACCACCCTAAATTCTCGCGAGAATATATTTCGGCGGGAGCCCGCCTACGTGTCTGCGGCTCCCTTTCAATTTCCACGCGGTTCGCGGCCGCCCTTACACGAAGGAAAATATTTGCCGGAAACCGATACAACATGCGGCAAACAATATGCGCTCGGTGGTATCCAATAAATCCGGTAATAAAGCTCGCCGATGCCGAAAAACGAGAACGGCTGTAAATTTAATGAACGCTCTTGACATCGATCGAGTTTTCAAAAATGAAAAAGAGAATTTGTGCACGTTGAAATAAAAAAAAAATGATTTTTCATTATTATGATACTTGTTAGGAAGACTCTTCCGTTGTTGGTGGTTCTTCACGCGAAAGTCCTTGACATAATATAAAGATGGTAACGTAACGTAAATCACACACACTATCGTGAATAGGTAAGTACCCTGCGTGACCCGGGTCATGCGTATATATCTACGAAATCTAGATCAGACACGAAGTGGAAGGTGGGTAAAAGTCGATTGGTTCCAGCTCGAATTATATAAAACTTATTGTGCTCCCTAAAATTCCGCTCTGTAATCGAATCGTTGGTAAAAAATCTTTTCGTTCGATTTCAAAGAGAAGTTAATTGCAACGAGCTGCTGCTCCTTTCATGCAAAAATTTCGTGACGGTACATTCCATTACGATCGTCAATGCGGGTGTTGGCAAACTTACAAATTGTTCAAGAGGGAAAGGAATCTATTCTATCTCCTAATCTAATGGAATAGTTTCATAGATAGGTATTGCCTTTCAGAAAATTGACGGTCGTAAACATTCGAGGACGCGAGTTATTGATTCGATTTGCGAGGAAATTACGCGATTAGTAACATCATTTTTACGAACAATTAAATATCCCCCGACCAAAATCGGAGCATGCTAGCATAAAGTAGTTATTCATTAAACATGCATTTTAATAATGTCTCTAATAAAACCGTTTTGCCACATTATTTAAAAATACTCATTAATAAACAAATCTCCGCGAAAATGAACGAACGAAATTTTTCAACTTACGAGACAACGGAGAGAAATGTCAGACGGTTGCGTCATCGCAATTCGGGATTAAGTTTATTCCACGCACAACCGACACTAACTACGCGCCCTTCGAAGCGATCGGCGTCACGCTGTCAAGCGCGAACGAACTGTCAAGCGAGCCCTTCGTAGCGTCCTCTCTTTCCACTAGTCTGACTCGTGGGCGTCGCGACGGCGATCGCCGTCGGCGACCAAGCGCAAGAAGGACACCTTGTCAAGGATCACTGCGCGACGCAGCACGTCACGAGAAATCGTTTCACTCACTGGTGTCGGAATTGTGCACGGGAGTGGTCGCCGGGGTGCTAGGGGCCTGATGCTGCGTCGACTGCGTCGGTATCCCGAGGGAGGCGAGGAGCGGTCGGGGCACTGCGCCCGGGGTGACGCTCGGCGGTGGCGGCGGGCTCTCCTGGCCTACGAGCAAACTCGCGGGCGGGAACCCGAAGAGCTGGGATCACTGGAGCCTCGGCCAATAGTTGCCCGTCAGGTCCGGAGTCTGCGAGGGTATCTGCACCGGCACCGAGACTCCCGCCGATATCACTCCTGAAACAATCGAGCCGTCGGAGGATTGAACGCGCGTTGCGACGGAACGGGAACTCTATCGAGGCTTTGGGAAATAGAGCGACGAGATAAGAAGCACCTCTGAATGCGGGTGGAACGTGTCAAGAACAAATGACACGAACATACAAACGTATTGTACAGCGTACAAAGGCAAAAACTATTAATTTGATTAATATACCATATATTGTCATTAGCAAAATTGATGCCTTATTCTAGCGTGGAATATAATTACCCCTTTGTACTTTAATATTACGTATATCACATATTTTACTATTTAATTTATTATTTAACGATTTAATTCATTTCTTCTTTGTAACATCGCTGGTTGATCATCACTGTGATGTTTTGTATGTACAATCCCAGCAAAAAGTAGCTCAAAATCAATATTGACGAATATCTACTTTTGGTGTATTTTGAGTAAGAAATTGTGTGGAATTGTATTACAATTTGATCTTAGCTACAGTGCAGAGATGTATTTTTTAATATTTATTGCGTTTTTACCGAAATATTCCGAATTTTGTTAATTGAAATGATTAACTTTTGGCAAAGAATTTCGTATTGACAGATACATGGCTAACTTCGTTGAATTATATTTAATAATATCTTTTTAACCAGTTTGTACTTGTATAATATTATTTGACCAAATATTTCCTCTGTATCTAAACTTTTGCAAATTTTAAACAAATTCTAAATATTATTTCCATGTGTTTTTGTCATTTGAATCGACATGATTATACGTTTCCCATAAGAACACATGTTAATTCGGTGCAAATTAAAATCCTTGTAACTTGTGAACGCTTTAGTGAATCGATTTACAAATTGTACTGAAGATTCTAAACATATGTAAGGACATTCTGTACAATTTTCATTAAATTCTCAATATTTTGAAAATAGGTACAAAACATCCTTAAGAAAATTTATTAATTTCAGCGACTCGTGATAACCGCGAGTAAAGCGCATCGTTAATCGCATGGAACGCAATGAGATTAATTTTACTAAAAACGAGCGAGTACGTATTTACGGAAGACGGGAAAACGCACTCGCAAGTATCGTCCATAGCGATGGTTGCGTAAATAGGATTCGGTTATGATAGCGCACAGCGGCTTCGTACACTTCTGCAATTTGAATTAAACACCTTAACGAGCTGCGTCTAAACCAATATAAACTTCCGCGAAAACATTTACACTCTATGCAACCTCGCGTCGTAACTTCATTCCTCGCGTAGGCTATAATTATAACATAAATGCAAAACAGGCAATTTGGCGAGCCTTACAACGAGGATGCGTGCCATTACACGTTAACCGCGTAACCTACCTTATTCAATGTTAACATGTCGCGAATATCGATACATACCATTAATAGGAAGAAAAGGTGTAATCTCGTTATCTATAATATTTACGCTTTTGAAATTTAATTCGCCATATAATATCGAATCACGTTTAATTCAAAAGTCTCGAAATAACTCGTATTTAATCGCGCGACTAAATTCCCGGATACCTCGCGCAACATTCTATCGCATCTTAATAATCTCCAGAATTTCATCTTTAGCTTCATATCCGACGAATGCTGTCACTTTGATGGCGAGGGATTAATCGAATATCCGTGACTCTCGTTCAACCGTCCACGTCCGCCAGCTGCGGAACAACTCGCGCGATTACGCTCGTTTCCGCGGTTCAACCGGGGGACGGCTACTTAGCTATGAAAACGGCGCCGTTAGAGTCATCGGGACACCGCGCGGCGCTAACGAGCGCGGTGAAAGTCCTTACGGCGCTCGTGCACGTAAAGCGATTATGATGGATAACCCGCGGCTCGTTCCGCACGTAAGGAGCGGGAACGTGCGGCGGTAGAGAGGAACAGTGAGAAAACGACGCGAGACGCAGGGGAAGGGGGAAAGGGGCGAGGGGTGAAAGAGCGGAAAAGAAGAAAGGCGGCGAGAGAAGAGAGCGCGGAACGACGAGAGGGACGGAGGGGGTGGGACACGCTGCGCGCGTGTTTCGCAGTATTCCACCATTCCGGCTTGCGCTCCGCTCCGTTCCTGTAGATACGCCGCGCACCCCGTATTTCCTCCCCTTTGGGTTCGCACGTTATTGAGCGCTCGCCCAGCCGAGGCGAGACCCAACCCATCCACATCCTCTGTTCACCCCTGTATATCCTCAGGAGGGAGAGGAAGCGGGAGAGAGAAAGGGAGAGAGAGAAACGGAGAAAGAGACGAAAGGGGCCCGGAGGGTGACGAGAGGGACGGATAGATGGATAGACGCGAAAGAGTGAACGCACCCTCGAGGGTGAAAGGGTGTAGAGAGACGAAGGGGATGAGAGAAAGGGAGAGAACGAGGCGGCGCAGGCTGCGAGAGGAGGCGCGACCCTCCGTGGCTTTCGCTAAACGAGAAGCGAGGGGATGAGACGTGGAGATAGACGAAGAAAAGAGATAATAGGGAGAGAGGGAGGAAGAGAGTTGGGAGAGAAAAGAAAGAGCCGAGCGCGGAGGAGCCAAGCGTACGTAAAAAGAGGGAGGAGGGTAGCGGAGTTGAGAAAATGGAAAATTCACCAGCTACATCGGCGGGGTTGGAAAACCGCCGAACATCCCATTCTTCGATTCAGCCCAGCGGCGCCATGCGAGATTTGTTTTAAAATCCTTTTACAATTCCGTGGGCGAGCGTGGAGCCGCGACCGCGCCGTTGCTCGCTCTTTCATCCCTCTCTTACATTCTCTCTCTTTCTGTTAGCAAGACTATGTAGATTGCGTGTGAAGAGGTGCTCCCAGGTAATTCTCGACGCTTTATTTCGCGCTTTGAGCCGACTAGAAACACGGGAAGAAAACTGCGGCCGTGCCAAGCGAAAATTGGAAACGAAAACCTTTATTGGTTTTCGGCGTGGATTCGTTCGTTTTGTTATTGCTCTCTCTATATTTGTATTCTCAAACGGCCAAACGGAAAATTTTTAAATAATTTCATATAAATATAATCAAAAGATATCATTTATAAGCAGTTAACGAGCTAATTATAAGAGAGAACCTTAGCAGTAAATATTCCGTTAATATTCATATATAAAAAAACGCTCTAGTATATAAAAAAAACACTCTAGTTCTTTTACTAGATAATTATAAAATCTAAAGAAAAAAATTATAACAAAATGAATAAAAAATAGTTGAAGAAATTTAATGTACCGAATAGAAAGAAAAGTTCGTTAAGAAAAAATATTTTTACAAGAGTTGATTAAAAATATCACCTTATTGTTAAATAAAAAATGCATTCTTTTATAATGATTTAATATCGATATATCGATATTGCGGGATATCCCCTAAGTTAGGTAAACGTTCTTTTTGCGCAAATATATTAGATTATTTCCTAAATAATTTTGAAATCGAGGAACAGAACAAATTAATCGAGAACTCACCGGTCGCGGTCGAAGTCGTCGGTTGATAGGGTGCTCCACCTGGTCCGGTAGGTTGTCCCCCCGGTGTCGCGGGGGTGCCACCGTGAGACGTCGGGATGCCACGATGAGGTTGCGAGTGCGCGGCCGCGGCCGCGCTATGCGCGTGAGAATAGGACTGCGTAAGCGAATGAAGAGGCTCGTGAAACACGTATGCCGGGTAGCCCTCGGCGCGTTGCTGAAGACAGCTTCCACCCATTGATCCGCCCAGGCTGCTTGACATGGAACTACAGGTGAGAAAAGAAAACGATGGATAACACAACGCAAAGCTGTCATTGATACATATCAATTTTAATTCACGACAACGCGTGTATAATTAAATTTACCGAATGAAGCCTAAAAATATGAAGAAAAGTCTCTTATCGAGATATTTAAAGTTGACATTTCCAGAAAGAAAAGTAAATATCGTTTATCCAAGTTATCAAGTGTGTGTGTCCGATATCATTCTTGCATATAATTTTTGTATTTGTGAAACGAAATGCTTTATAGAAATTTTCCTACCTATACGTGTCGGGCATAGTGGCGATTGGTTGCGGTATCGACGAGTACATGGCGTTGAATCCGGCGTTTAAGGGCAATCGTGGTGTTGCGGGGGTGGCCGCGGGAGGCGCGGCGCCGCTGCTACCTCCGCCGCTACCGCCAGCCACCACCTGATCGACGGCCGCTCTCCTCTGGTTCCGTAATTTCTCCTCTCGACGCCACTTCGCCCTGCGATTACTGAACCACACCTGCAACCGACACAATGACGGTGCCTTTGTCACGATAAGTGTGCAGTCGCACACTCGGCGCCGCCGACACGTTATTTCGCATCATCCGCACTCGTTCGCTCTCGTTCACGCTTCACGATTCTCTCCTGCTTCCTCCCCGAAGAGAACACCCTCGCATCCTCCCTGAACCATCTCGCCGTCTCTCGCTCTCTCCTTCTCTCTCCTCTGTTTTTTTGTCTGCCAATCTCTCGTGCACTTTTCGAGACAGCGTGAAAATCTAGACACTCTTCTTTTCCATATCTCGTACGAACGACCGCGTTACTTTTTACGAGAAGCTCCTCCAATTTGTTAATTGCGATCGAGCAGTTGTCAGACAGGAAATTGATTTACTCTTGTTCGCTTGGTCTCTTTCCATTCACCATTCGCTCTAGTTTCTCACGTACATTCTTTCTACATGTTCCTGTTTATCACCCCTTCGCTGTAGCGCACTTACACGTGTCTCTTTTCAAGCGTTTGATTGTACTACAAACCGCATCAAATCCGATATTGGAGAAAAAGTGTACTGCAGATAACACGCGGTTGTATTCGCGAGAGTATCACATTAATCTCTCTTATCGATTAGAAAAGAGATTTGATTATTTCTATATTTAATGCTATTACAGATCTTTAAAACGTCGATTAACTTTAATATTCATGTCTCACCGACTTCTTGGCTTTTTATAGAATTCTAATTAAAAAAAGATAAAGAATATGTCAAAAAATTATATAAATGTACTTGTGTAAAAATAATGAAAATAGAATAAAGAATTAATAATGTCATCAACATTTATGCCTTTATTATTTATAGTGATATCTCAAATGACACGACAATTTCATAAAATAAATCGAGACTTATAAATTCCTTGCAACGCCTACACGGATTTTCTGATTTTTTGTGATTCTCTTCAGCGATAAGAGGATTTGTTCCCTTCGATATATAGGTTTTCCCTCGTCGGCGCTTAGGACAATCCATGAACCATGCATTTGGCTTTTTCGTAAGACCTTTTTTCTATGTATATACTGTAGCAGTCAATTTCATGGGCAGGCAATTAATTCGCTACGCTCTCGAATTGTTTTTACATGTAAAAAATATTTTAATATTTTGTCATCTATAATTACACTATACTTTTTATCAAACATTATTGTTATAATTTTTTATTCAATAATTATTGCATTTAATTGGTGAATATCGCACAACTTTTATTATATGCAATCAACCGAAGAGAAGAGAGAGAAAGGTCTGTTCTAATAAATTATATTTAATACAACCGGGGCGCACAAGTTTTCGAAAAAGAAATTTACATGTTTTCGCATGCTACCGTGCGCGGCTAAAAATAAAGGACAAAGCAATAACAGCAATTTCCATTCTTGTCGATTTTGGTGTAACGAATTACCGCGTGTGCGATACGGAAAAAAGGGGGGATGTTTTTCGCGACGGAAAGAAATGTCATCAACGTAGAAATACAAGCCTTCCGCAATCTCACGTATAACATCGCGCGCTACGAACATGACGAGGGTCCCTCGATTGAATCAAAAAATAAATTCCATCCTCCTGTCCTCCCGTTGGCGCAGCAAATCGTGTTCGACCATCCCACCGTCAAATATCTACCATTCGCCCGCAGTGGATTTCTTCCGGCCAATACCATCGTCCCTCGTAAACTCATCCTCCCTCATTCCGAAAACTCGTCCGAATCGATCCGTGCGAAAGTCTGTGATCTCCGAACATGCTCGGTGTTACTCAAAGAACACGGTCTCTCCTCCGAGCCGATCGTCAATGACCGAAATGTAGCAAGGACCGGTTCTCGACGCCGGTTTCCGACCTTGGAATCCTCCGACCTTGGACATATTCGCGATGCGCCAACTGGAAGCGCAAGAAATTCGTTTGGTCTCGCCGGTACTTTAGGAAATTAGTGGAGCATAAGACATTGCCGCGTCGGCTCCGAGAAGTATCTCATTTCGATCGGAAGGAAGGATATAAACGAGTTAAAAACAAAAATTCTCTTCTTCAAAAAGTGTCTCGGCGTGACTCTATTAGGTACATCCCGCAACCTAATGACTTTATGCTTCATTTTTTGCGCTTGTTTTTACTTAGCGCCCTCGAAAGCCGAAGGAAAACCCCGTTTAATCCTCGTGTAGCGTATCGGCCATCGCGCTCGCACAAGTCGACTTAGGGAACGCCGAGGACGATAATCGGCCGGCGACGGACGTGCCAGCAGCACGACGTGGCGAATCTCGTGGCCGTGGTCGGGGTATATAGGTGGAAAACCGAGGGCCAATCGGAGGGCGACCTCCCTCGGGACCCGACGTTGCCATGGTTGCGTCCGAGAACCCTCTTAGGCCTTCCGCGCGATCCCTCGCGGCTCGGGTTGCGTTTACATGCCACGCCATCCCGTATACCAAGCCGCGACGCACGTTACATTTTGGGCTCCATCTCGAAGTACCGGGCATCTCGCTCTTCGTCTTTCATTCGAGGATCGTCCGCAACGATTGGTCTAACTTGGCGATCACCGCGATTCTTCCCTTTTGTTCGGGCATCTTTTTCTATCTCGACTATCTCCCTCTTTCGATCTCACTCGTCTTCCTTCATTCTCTCTATTTCTCTCTTCCTCTTTCCTCTCCCTCTTCTCCTCGTCGAACTTCTCCTTTTCCCTCTCGCGCCGGAACTCCCGGTTTCCTGCACTTAGCAAGATCAATACCAGCCAACGAGGCTTGAAAACATGCGTCAACATGGTCTTGCACTGTTTGTACGTCCACATAACGCTCAGCGCGCCCGGTTACTACCACCACACCGAACCCCGCCGGCCACTTCGCCGACCCTCTCGTCTCCTCATCGCGGTGGTCCAGGTGAGAGGAGGGTGAGCGCGGTCAAACAATATTCGATAAGGCTACGTATATATTAACGGCTCAAAATGTTGATATTATAATTATAATTATGCAACATGATATTTTGCATCTCCCTTATGATTAAAAAGTAAAAGGGATATTATATCAAAATGGGAATTGTTAAATAGCAGAAAGTGTCAACAAACATTGTGCAAATGTTTGCATACATAATATTCAATTAATGGCATTGAAAATAACGATATTTCGATATTTCTAATAATCGTTTAGAATAGGTTACTGTAACGAGAATATAATTTTAACAGAATTGTGATGTAGTTGTTAAATTGTTTAACGAAATACAGCGAACAACGGCAGATTAAAAGAGAATTGATGATATAACAATTGAGCAAATAATTAAAACTTGGCAAGGATTTAAATAAATATAAAAAACATTGTAAAGACATAAAGATATCTCTTCAAACATGTTTTTTAGAAATATCTTGAATTCTTGGACTGTTTAGTTTTATATTTATATCGCAGGAAATTGAAATTTACATGTGTTAATCGCAGTTTCTGTCATGTTATATGAATGTGAAGTTGTTCCGCGATGAGAAAAAAGTGATAGAGAATTTGCGGAAAAGATACGAACAAGAAATCATTGTGGTGGCACCGCTTCCTTTAAATGCGAACTAAAGTTTCACGAGTTTTTCCGATCTTATAATTTAAATGAACGTGATTCTGATCTATCAAGACTGTCTTTCATTCTCCGTGATTCTTGACTTTGTCGATGCAATCAAAGGTTCTTCGAATTTGTCGAACTTTTCAACTTCTTCAGAACGTTGACCTTTAACTATCTTCTCATGATGTTCCATTCGCCAGAGCATTTAAATTCGCATTTCCATATTTTTGTCGTTTATCAAATTATCATTGAAAAATGTATTTTTTAGATTTGATAGAAAAAATAGAACATAACTCAATGAAATATACTTACTGTTATAATTAATTAATGTATTGTCTAAGAAATATATATACTCGACATATTCTGGCATTTTCCTAAATTAAATCGTAATAAATAAATCGCGTACTATCTATCGCGTTAATCGATGGGAAAAGTAGCGCGTGTAAATTCCATATAAGAATACATAAATAATGGCAAAGTAGCGAGCGAAAGAGGTGACGAAATCCCATTGGGAGTCTCACGAACGGCTCCAAGCTTACCGTCGGAGGTATTTAATGTTCTCCACGTACAACCACGTGGTCACACGTTAAAAGCATTTAATGAAAGGGCGTCGTCGCACTTACGCCGGTCGACCCTCCCGGGAAGAACGAACGGAATAAGAAGAGAGAAAGACGCATCCGCGAGGAAAACGCGAGAGGAGAGAGAGAAAGAGAGAAGATGTAGGGGTTGCAGAGAGGGGGACAGTTGGGTGGAGCGAGTGTCGGTGGAGGAAGCGCATACACGCCGCATTCGCACATTCACACTCACCTGGATACGTGCCTCAGGTAATCCGATCTTCTCGGCGAGACGCTCCCGTGCAAACACGTCCGGGTAATGTGTCCGCTCGAATTCTGAAACGAAACCAGTTTGCAACAAGTGCTCGTTATTTAGCCGCATCGTCGGCATTAATTATCGCGATACACGAAGCTTGTCGGCCATCGTGCATTTTCTCTCAACCGACGAATATCAGAGATTGGACCGAGAAGACTACAATCTTGACGTCGAGATATCGACTTCGTGTTGCGAACGAATATAATACGTGTATATATATAACAAAATTATAATCTGAAGCTTGAGTAGAGATACTGCAAGATAAAAAATTATTCGCAAATATATTACGTTTAATTAAGAGCAAAAATCAATCGGATAAAATAAAGAATTTGCAATAGAAAAAAAAAACACGTGATTTATGGGAAATCCTGTACAAGAACAGATTGTCAAGATTGATAACTTTCTGATTGGATTTTGTACTAACCTTTCTCGAGGCTGTCTATCTGCTCGTTAGAGAAGGAAGTTCGGTTGCGCTGCAATTTCCTTTTCAGCCTCAGCCGCACCTGCGAGTCCTCATCTCCGGAGGAATTGTGCTCCGAATTACCGTCCGAAGTTGTCTCCTGCTGATGCGACAATAGAGAACCGGTATCTGGAACAAGAATTAATTGCTTCTATTTTAGCCTATTGTTTTATTAGCCTTAAATATGTTTCGCTCATTTGCGATTATAATTAAACTAATATTGACCTCAATACAGATCATTAAATATAATTATTAATCGCATTCGCACAGATGACCAACAAATCTTTCACATTTTTCTCCCATTATAAGAAACATTGCGATCTAATTAAGAGGTCCCGCTATTTGGTGCATCATCGATCGATCTTGTAACACGATCCGCCGTTCTTGAAATTCCTAGATACCGCCGCGCGTCCAGGCGTATGTGACCGGTCTTCGAGGTCGCATCTCGTGTTGGTGCGTCGGTTCGTACGCCCGCGAACGCGTAGCCCCTCGTCAAGCCCTGTGGGCTGCGATTACTTTCCGCCTCCGCGCATCGCACCCTCGTCTCTTTCCATTCCTCCCGATACCTTCCCGACGTCTCTCCGTACCTCTATTCCTGTCTGTGTTCGTCCCTCCGTATCGCGCGATGGAGAGATGTATATATGTACGCCTTTACGCTCGCATACATAGGTATGTGTACGTATATACGTGTACATATATATATATATATATATATATATATATATATATATTCGCTCGTCAGCTGCTCGCTTTCTCGTTCGCTCGTCTCAGCCCCCGCGCAACCCCCAATTGGACTCGGCCCGACGAAACTCCCTCGACTAGAAATACCGGCACCCCAAACACGCATCTATCTATCTATCTATCTTTCTCTTTCTTTCTTTCCTTTCCTTTCTCTCCCATCCCTTCATTCTTCCTGCCTGCCTCGTCACCCTAACCGTCTGCCCTGTTCGCCTTCTTCCCGCGGAACTCACCCACCTCCTCGCGAATATCCCTGCGCATAACGACCAGACCAGGAACGATCCTCGGCGGTTCGCTACAGACGGATCGTTGGCTTTAATTTTCTAGGTGACGACGCACACCCGGCGAAGAAAGAAAGGAGATTAGCCGATGCTCTCTACGACCCGGTCGCTTAATGCGCCCGCTCCGACCAAAGTGGCAGCAATCGACCGTTCGATGCATTCCTGTGCATTCAAGTGTGCACACTACGTCATTTAACGAACGTATAGCATAAAGTATAAACCATTATCTACAAGTAGCAATGTTGTTCGAAGCTCTTTTATTAATATAAATTTTAAGATTATGTATTTTTGTCTCATTTGTCTTTATTTATTAGCATTAATTCTTATTAAATTGATGTATTAGTAAATATAAATGTCATTAATTTGCAAAGATAAAAAAGTTATTATTCTATTTTAAATTTATTTATTAATATTTGAAGAAAATCTTATATTTTGATCGAATTGATTTTAGAAATACTTTCGAGTACATAGAAAATACGTTCGCAATGAAAGCACTTTTCTACCTGTCACTTTACTACAGTTCACGTAATCTACCTATTGAGAGTGACGGCATCTGGATTTGTCATTCGCGGACTGATTCTGGCTATAAGAACCAAACCGCAGGCCCGATTTCTGTGATCCTATTAGACTTATACGGATCCTTTTTTTCTATTCGACCGCATATGTACACATGCATTGTACGAGTCAAGGACTTGGAACCGCAAATTTCGAATAAAATAATACATAGAAAAGGATATAGTAGTTCGAGAAAAGCTATCTCTAAAAAAAAATTGAAATCGTATATATTTTAAAAGCAAATATTTTTGTCTAAATAAATTAATGAATGCCACTAATATAATTGCAAAAATGATAGTTAAAACACGTTAACAATTAATCTTGGTATTTCTACATTTATTACGATGAATACAAAACAAATGAGAACTTACCGCTCCGCTTCAATAAAGCATCATCGCGCCCGTGAAGTTGACTACCAGGCAAAAGCGACTGACCGGATCCAGGAGTTGCCGCTGTTGGAATTCCCGTGGCCAAAGGATGATGAGAAGGTGTCGCCGAATACCACGCTGGCGGCCAGCCTGCTGCCTGTCCGTTAAACATTCTCAGCTTATCGTAGACACTCTCAGCGCCCTGATGCGCTTGCACCGCAGCCGCCTGTTGCTCCTTTTGCGAGGCCAGGTTCCTGAGTACCCTGTTAATGGACGACACCTGCGAGGAAAAAGAAATTTCCGCTAAAAATCAATTATTCGTCATCATTTATTAATTTAATTCTACATCAAGACCAGAAAAAACTGCAAAATATCTGTATTTTTCATTGAATCATTTTTTTTATAAATAAATTTAAAAATATCATTAATTTGTTTCTAATTCTCTTAAAATAATATATATAGTAAATAAATTATTATTGCAACATAATTAACATATTTAATTTAAATTTTATATAAATTTAAAAAATGTAAAGATTTAATGTATACAGATTATGTATACAACATAATTTTTAATTGAGTATAATAAATATCTCTCTATAATTTATTTTTGTATGATTAATAATCAGAATTGAAATCATCAATACTTTTTAATTTTTAATCACTTAATTCTAACGATCTGAAACAATTAATTAATTGTGGAACAATAAAAGATTATCTTTCTAGTTTTTATTTTCGACAAGTTTAATTTAAAGAAAAAAATATATCTCTTAGAAAGGAGAATTTACACTGTTTTTCGACACTAATGACTGGCGTGTATTCCTATGCGCAGAATACCTCCGTCATCCATTCGCGACGGATCAAGGAAAAGAGAGACATAGAAGCGAAACGGGCCGGGACACGGCTCTTTGTAAACTCTCGCGACCGCAGCTACTCGTCGCTCTCTCAGAATCATTTCCGTCGTCGTAGCTGCGTACTGATTGTCCACCCCCTCGCCATCTCTCACGCGGAATCCTTCTTCCTCTTTTTCGTCCTCCCGCGGTCGAGGGATGCGAATGGGAGCGGGGATCGTATCCAGATGAAAGGACACCGCCGTCCAATTATTATTACATAAAACGGTCTCCACCGCTCTTTGTCCCCTTCCAATCCGAGCACGCTTGTCGTCGTCATCGTCTTCATCTTGCGTCCACGACCGAGCCACTGGCTAACTCCAAAGTTATAACGAGCCCGCGTATAACATAGGGATTCAAGCATCGCACTCTCGACTTGCACATAATGGTCCTCGGCGCACTCCATACGCACACCAAATCCGTTCTTCACATCCTTCTGCGCTGAGCTTGATGCACCAGATATATATATATACAACCGTTAATGCAGCGGATGTCGGATATCGAGCGAAGCTTCTTAATTACGAGGTCGACTGAGAACTCCGACAAGAGCGACACGAGTGTGTGCAAAGCCGATCCTTCTCGCATAGTTTGACTTAAAACCGACGGAATAATGGCCGAGTGACGCCAAGAGAACGTCATTAGAACAGTAAGCGACACGGCTGTCTATTAGAATCGGATTAAAGACGAGGTACCCTGACTTCGCAGAATTCGATGCTCGGCTATTGCATGTATTCTTGATTATTGCATTCGCTATCGTAGTCACAAGTCGCGAATCAGAGTTTCGTAAACACTCTTAATCTTTAACACAACGATCGCATCATACAACATGACCAAGTTGATTAAGTGATTCGGGAAAAGACAGGATTTCGTTTGAATGCAATTTCTCGAGTATTGCAAAATATCGATGAGTTTATCGGTCGACATCTACCATCCCGTAACTCATTGAGCATACGTAATTCCAATCGTCTCGGCTTGTCCCGATGCCGTGAGATAATAACAGGCGGATAGCGGAAGCGACGTTTCGAGATGAGTTAGCCCCGGCTAACCCAGACCAGGCTCTCCGTCATCAGACCGTCTATCCAGTCTGGATGCTGAGAGGGATAGAGCGAGATAGAGCGGGAGAAAGAGAGAGAAAGAGAGAAAGAGAGAGAAAGAGAGAGAGATCCCGGTTCCACGCTCCGCACCGCTCTACTCTCGCCGCACAACAGCCGCAGCGTCGATGCAGGCCATTACACGCGCGACCGGACACGAATAATTGTGCAACACGCTTAACTGATCCCATTCACCCTGATTCTACCCGCTCCCGTTCGCTCTCGCCGCCGACTAACCCCCGCTGCACCCTCGGCATCACCCTCGGCGCGATGTGTACCAGCCGCAACAGCCAACGTCACTGCCGATGCTACCAGCGATCCACTAGTACTCGAGAGAGGATCGAAACGAAATTGAAAGAAATTGCCGTCAGTCAAATTACGTCTTTTCTTCTTCTCATATCTTCGGTTAATGTTTCGAGAACCATTCTAAAGTTATTCTTAGCCCACCAATAATCCCGAAAGTTTTGTATTGATTTTTGATACTGGATCCCAGGGGAGAAAATTTAAAGACTACAAAACTATTATTAATAAAATAGCGCCTCATGTTCCAAAAAGAGAATATAATGACAGAATGATAAAGATAAAATCTAGTGAAGTGATAAGAAATAAAGATATAGAATGATGTTCTCTCAAATGTAACATCGCTACTGGCCGATGCATTACATGCTCGACGACAGAACGACACGTGCTAGACGCTCTGATTGATCATCCTGGAACCTCCTACATCTCCCACCAACCTTCTTCACTCGGCAGTTCCTAGGAACACACCGATAAGAGAGAGCGAGGTTCCTCCACGAGCCGATGGATAACGACTTGTACGCGTGCCATCCCCCTCGATATTCCTGACGGTATCCGATAGGGAGAGGTATTACCGGGAGGGAGAGTGTTCTCGAGGAAGCCAGACGAGGACGATCGACCGCGCGAAATATTCTCGTAGGTCGATCGACAGAAGGGATCGCAGGGTTTGGGCAGGATGTTTGGTAGACGGATAGACGTACGACCGGAGAAGATTCTTCGAGTTCGGAGAAGGGCGATCAGCGCCCGGGAGGGTGGACAATGCCGAGGTCCGCGTAATGGACCGATTACCCCACCCAGCCGATCGCATTGACGAGACTTTGATTAGGGTCGAGTGGCCGGATCCGACGGGTAAGTACACCCGACCGGCTGCACGCCACGATAAGTCGACGGCGGATTACGCGTAAACTTATACCGTGTCCAATCAATGGCCCAATATGACGCCGACAGGGAAATTTATTCGCACGCATCATGGTAAGTACGATAAATCTATGCAAGTCGTGGCTCGCAAGCTTGAAAAGCTGGAATTTATGCAACATGCGCGTTTAAGCTATTCTATACTTGTTTTAATATATGATTCTACCATTGATATTTACTCAAAGGATTTAATATAAAAAACTTTAGCATATTAATCAGCTATCGATTTTAATTAAGCAAATTTCTTCATTCGACATTTTTCACTTACGCTGGGTATATTGTCGTTATTGCATACACCCTCCTGCAAAAGTCGATCGCGAATTTCCCAGGCAAAGATCGAGGGACATTCTCGTTTGTAGTCGGCGATTTTGTTGACCACAGGTGTTGTCGCCACCCGTGGCTTGCTACCACCGATCGCCCGTGGCTTGATCGAGCCAGTCTCGTAATACCTGCGAAAGAGGATATTGTTATTTTCACTTGATGCATGTTAACGTTACGTCGTGGCGAGCCTTTTGAACATGGTATGGTTATTGAAAAAAATGTGAGAAACTTTATAAAAGGGGAACATCTCATTGGGTGAAAGCTCTAACTTTATTAATATCCTGCAATTTCTGCGAGAGAATCGTGACGTGACGATCATGTAAATATAACGTAAAATGTAACGTAAAAACTTGAAATGTAATATAAAATTAGCTTGTTACCGCATATCCAATTATTTTAAAATCTCAACATCAAAACAAAATTATTAAAAATAGAAGAAAAATTTATTTATTATATTTATATTATATTATGAATTTTATCACAATTGTATCAAGTGGCTTTATTACTAATTGTATAAAAAAAATGCAGCAGTTGCGTTTTATAACTATTGAATCTGACTAATTGGATTTAGACAGCAATCATACATTTTATTATTATTCAAACATCGACTTAATTTCTTGAACGGTCTCGCTCATGATTTCGAAAGAGAAAGAGGTAGAAAGAGATATATGTTTACCTGCCAAGGATTTTGGAGACACATCCATTGCTGACTTGCAGTATACGTGATATATCGCACGGTCTGGCCCCGCTGTGGGCCAGCTCGACGATCTTCTGCCTCGTGGAGTCCGGCAATGGTCGGCCATTGACGTAAACGCCGCCGAGCTGGTTAACCCCGCTGTGTCCTGCAGCCGAGCATCCAAATATTGAGTTCTGTCCGACCATAGAACCCCCGCCAATACCCGCACCACCCCCGTGCATCAAGTCTTCCTCTGTGAATCAAAACGCGCGCAACGTGTACGTCACTTCGCTAGAACATCTGATTGGTAAACAGCGGAGAGAGTACGCGCACTGAACGCGTTCTTATTAGTCTAATTAGCGCTCGCGCCTGTCGCACGAATCCGAAGCGTCAGATTGAACACCAAGGGAGATGTTTGCGTCGCGATCACACGCTCCGACGCTCAGCGGATGTCACGTAACGAAGATCAGTTTGACCCTTGCGCGCCGATTAATTCGCTCCCGTGTGCCTTATTACGATATGTTACATGTATTGCGTATGGTGCATCACGCGCGGAGGAAGCGCCGAAATGGAAATATATCATGTAGATACGTCTGATATTGACGATAGCGGTAATTGTGATGTAAAGGGAGACAATGGCAAGTGCAACAAATAGATATCTACACAATACATTGTGTCATTCAATAATTATGCAAGAGAAACTATAATATTTGCGATAAAGCTTATAATGTACTAAATTGCAAGTTAATTTGTTTAAGGGATAAAATGTCAATGAAGGCAATTGGAAAAGTATTAGATTTCACGGTGAACAAAAGCTCTTTTGCTTTTTAATACATGTATCCTGATGCAAAAGTGAACCTCTCAGCTTTCCTCTTGTCACTTTGTTAAATTTCTATGGTGCATCATGGGCAAAAGGAGTTCTCCCAACGAGAAGACATCGTGACGGCGCACAGACGACGGGAGCTAGCGTTGCTAAATGCATCTTGCAATTAACAAATTTAATTAATTCCCGCTTTTGCACCGCGCAAAGCGACAAGAAATAATTGGAATGTAATCTTGGATGGTCCGCGTCGCCTCCGTCGCTGTGCGAAACCACTTCGTATAACAACACGAAGTGGTTTTCTCGCTTGCTGTTCCTCCGCTTGTCGCTTTCTTCCGTTCTTACACCACTTCTGTTGTGTCTCGTTTTCGCCGACGCGAGAAGATATGAAATCTCACACTCCTTTCACCATCATTCGATATTCCGTATAAAAATATCAAGAACAGAGATGGCGATCATTCAAAAATTAATCTTTAACGTAACTTTTAATATGTCATGCATCGCAAATGTGTTGAAACACTTATTATTACACGATCATCAATTTTAAATTAATGACATTTATTTCAAAACAAAATTGAATAATGAATTTTGGGACGGTAGTTAAGATTCTGAGAGAAACAAAAAGGCGAAGATTTATTAATTTTTATAAATCTATCTCTAGAAAAAAATATTTTTCTTATCCGCGATATCAGTTGATAATTACTCGTTCTTTAATATACAACTCTATCATAATATATGTCTATCATAAAAAGTTTTTTAGCTTCAATCACATTATAACTGAAGCTTTTTAAGCGAACGCCGAGTAAAAGCAATAACAAATATAATGATAAAGAATAAGGAGCAAGAAATTGAAGTTGAGAGTCTTATTATAAGTAAATCCACGGCGTCGAAGAAATTTTCAAGGAGGTGCTTCTTATATCTGTTATAGCGATAGCAATTCGGGAATCTGAGAAGAAAAACAAATAATTCGATCTCTTTTTAGAACATGATCTTGTAGGCATTATTCTTAATTTCATTTCATAATGGAAACTTTAAATGAAACACACTGACAGATATCTTACAAAATATTTAAAGGAACATTCGATCTAATTGTTCATGAATTAGGAACATCGGGATACAATTACTATAATTTTGTACAACAAAGATTGATTCTCATTATCGATTTGTTGATCATACTTGCCACTTTCCACAAACTTGTATCGACGAGTTTATAAAATTCTTTAATCTGTTTCTTAATTATGCACGCAACATAAAGTAGACAATCACGAGGGAAAATATTTTCTTCGAGTCAATTTTTCTTTACGATACTTTCGGCAATTTTTTCCATGATTAATAAATATTTATGCTGTTCAAATTAATAAGAACACTAACGAACGCATAAGATTGTGATTGCATTCACAGTATATGTATAATAAGTCTCGAGTTACGTGCGATTAGATTATGTCAAAATTGATTATTTTATAATTTGTTTTATTATATATGTGTATATGTATCTATTTTTTTCGCTCATGAGTATAATTAATTATCTCAACATTATCAGTATTTATTATCCGTAAAACTAAACCCCCTCGCAACAATATATCGATTTATACATTGCAATGATATTGAATTGCCGTATTTGAATTTAAAATTATCTAATTTACAAATTTGATTCAAAGATGCTTGGTATTCTTCCGAATCGCTTCATCCTTTCAGCTGAATGGTTTATCTTAAAAATAGGCGGTCAAAGTGAGAACGCGTCGTCGACGGTTCTGTTCTTTGAAGGGACGGCGCACGAGTCTGTGCTGTTTTTCACAAGTTTAATTCGTTACAAAGGGGACAAGTGTGCATGACTTAGCTGCACATGTACGCGCGCACGAGATACACCCTTTACGTTCATCGTCTTTCGCCTCATGCTGGAGGGCGGCCACCCCCGACAGAGGGGGATGATGTCGGCGAGAGGGCTCGAATATCGTCAACTCGTGCACACAACCGCCGGCCGCACACATTCTTTATATATAATTTCGCGTTAATCTACGCGGCGGTGCGGCGTAAAAGCAAGTCGCGCCGCAAAGTGAGGCAAAAAGGTTCCACTTGGCTGAGCGTGAAACGGGACACAGATTAAATCCCATCCTGTGCAACCCCGGCGCACGGCGTCGCGACACCCTCGTCCTCCCTGATGCTTTCCTCCCACCCGCGCCAGCTCGCTCAGTCCGCTTGGTCGAGCCATCCTTTACCGCCCTCGCCAAACATCTCCCGAATCTCTGCGCTCTGAGCAAAAGTCTTCAAGCGCAGAAACAATCGTCGGTATTTGAGATGCGCGAATAAACGCGATGAAAATCGATGTAGAAACGTTTTACGTGAATCAACTATGCAATTGGATCTTTCATCAAATTTTTGTAAAATCTATTTAGGGGAAAGGCTAGTCCCGGACAACGAGTAACTCCGGACATTTTAATATCTCTAATACTAAACTGCTTAAAAAAACAAATGACACGTTAAAACATATCTGTCTCAGCACATAAACAATTGCAAATCAGTAATAATATTATATGTACGCCAAGCGGATCAAATGTTATAATCAGTTTTATTCCCGTTAAGAGTGATATTACGACGCCCATCAAATTTTGTCGATGCTTGTTCATTAAAAGTAAGTGCTGTTACATGTCCGATTGATTTTAATATTAACAATTAAATATAATTTAAGATTCTTATACATTTAATTAATTCTTTTTACATTACACAAATTAATTAACAAATATATTAGATCAAGCCAATCGGGTATCCTCGGACATTAATAGAGCCAGTTTTTTTTTTATGAATTTGTTGCAAAAAGTAAAGATACTAAAGGTGCTAAAGGTATTACTAAACAACGCAAAATAAAACAAAACAATCAAAATATTTTTCATTAAGACAAACATCAAGATACTCAATGCATTGCTTGCGGAGAAATCTTCAAAGAAGACTGGATCCAATGTAATAAATGCAAAGAATGGGCACACGAAGAATGCGTAGACATTGATCCTTCAAATATATATTTTTATTGTGACGTTTGTAAGGACAAAGAACGAACAGATAATTGTTGAAATATATTGTCCGGGGCTACCCGCCATTTTTTGACTGCTCAAAAATAGCAGTAATAAGTTATTGATTTTTTTTTCTAAGATAGTTTAAGAAAAATGTTCTATTTTTTGTTAATAAGAAATCAAAAAAGTTCAAAGTTTATTTTGCAAAAGAATAATTTAATTAAAATCTGTTGATTATATATTATTTTATGCGTTTTATTTAAGCGTCCGGGGCTACTCGCCTTTCCCCTAATAATGACCGGAAATAGAATATATGTATTATGATATTAAAATTTTTGAAACACTTGATTAATTTTGTTTGAGCCATTGCGTTTATATCCTAGACGAGCAAACATTAAACCCGTTGGAAAGAAACGATTGATCGTTACCCGATAATAGAAACAAAACAGCTCAGCGAAGCGGCTAATACGCCACTCCAATTTCCAACGATGACAGAAAGTTTGCAGCGGAATAGTTGTTTAATGGGATGTAATAATAGTTTGCGGGTAATTAGTCCCGCGTTGCGACTCGAAACCGGCCGAACGTAATCAGTTACAGAGTGTGTCGGTTCCGAATTCATTTAACGAATTGCTGTTTATTCGTCGGCATCCATAAAAAATATCTCGCTTTCGCGGCTGAAATTACTTTCACCTGTCGTCGTCGCGTCGCGCGTACGTTAAATAATTTAATTATGTGCGCCATATTTAGCATTGATAATACGACCGCGCATTAGTGCGATGCAATACAATAAACTATCCAACTTCCAACATTAATATAATAGAAACAATTACGAAAAAGAATATTGTGCGATTGTAAAAGTATATAAAATGTTATTGCATTGCTAGTGAAAAAAAAGATACATGGGGTCAGCCAGCTTGACAAACTTGCAAGCACACAGCAATCGATTATTAACGATTTCACAATTCAGTTGGCAAACCATTTACGTAGAAAATTAAAATAAATGACAAAATGATTTATCTAAGTAATTCATAACGTAAGGGAAGTTTCAAGATATTTACTCCAGACGTGTCATCGTGTTAACGATTGCGATGCTTTCGAGCCCGCTTATTTCCGGCAACAGTTGAGCATCTATGAACAGCATAACGGATGCAGGACGCCTCTGAAATCGACGTGTTCGAGTATCACTGGCTAAATGTTATTATCACGTGAGGGTGATCTCGACGGATGAGCAAATCTGTGCGCGACATAGCCTCCGAGCGTTTCGTGATAAACTCATGGCACCGCCGAGAGAGAACTTCATCTCGTGGGAGCCCTTCAGCGACATCAAAGATGGCATGCCAGGCATACGCTCTCTAATGAGTTGAATCGCGGTAAGAGCGGGGACGCTCTCGCTGCTTTCCGAGCGACGAATTCATTACGGACGGTGTTAAGAGGCGGCGGCGCAGCATTAGCAGCCACCGTCTCCGACAGCGCACACTCATTACCGCGCCCGTTATTATTGACACCGTGCGTAAGGCAGATCATTTTCTCCCTCCCGCCTTCTCTTTCTCTCTCTTTTTTTCTCCGCACAGCTTTTTACTGTAAATACTGAAATTGCGCCACAGCGGAGTTAGTTACTATTCACTCGCGCTAGTTACTATTCACGGATAACAAGATGCTTTGCGTGAGAATGCGCGAGATAACACGATAATCTCGACGCCGCGAGCCCAGCCACAGTACGATTAAATAAATTTTGCGTCAGTAATTTTGCGTCAGGTAACGGACCGAGAAATCCTGACTTGATACTTAACGCTCATCATATTAAACGAACCATTACCACAATGAACGAAAAAAAGACAACAGCAATCCTCTTAATACTATGAAAATAAATAAATCTATTTTAGTTTGCGTATACAGTTTCTCAATCGCACCATTAAATTTTATTGATCTTTAAATTTTTTGTACATATAAATAAAGTTATCTTTGACGCAATATTCTCTGTTTAACGCTTCGGTTGTGAAATGTGTTGCGAAAGGATTAATTAATGTCTCACGTGAGACATCCCAGAATTCATATGCAGTTGCTTTCAAACTGATTGAATAATTTGTACATATTTTTTCTTTCCGATACAGCAGCCATGCAATCCGAAGAAATATCGGTATATTCCAAATCCTTCACATATGTCTATCTACTAGCAAAAGTTATCGGTGAATCTCGCAGACGTATCGCAGTGCCATAGCTTATTGATTGGTCGCGGGGATAATCCTGCACCGCCGACATTTATTATCCTCTTGGAGCAACGGAAGCAGGTAATCTCCGCAGTCTCCGAACCCTGGCACGCGCGAGATCCGATCCCGTAACCAACGCATAGGGCCTGGCGCCCATAACCATTAACAAATCTCGCGTAACGACGAGAACGAAATAAAGCGCTCTCATGAATCGAGCATTTGATTCAAATAGCTACCGGGGATTTTATAGAGAATCGAAGAGGCAGTTCGTTTTCTGATATATATAGTACGCATAAAAAAAGAGAGAGAGAGAGAGAGCACAGAGGGGACAGATTAGTGGTTGGACAGATGAAAGAGGGGCGCGCTCGTGCCACGCAAGCATTGCCCGCCTTGGAACTATACATGAATACTTCGAGGAGGGGACCGATGGAAAGCGAGAAAGAGAGAGAAAGAGCAAGGGGGAAGCACTTATATCCTTCTACAAGTCCCATTATAATCCTGCGTGGGCCATAGTTGCGTAACGCGATCCCGCGCCTCCGCTCTCGAATGGAGAAAGATTACGTTGCATCGAGACAAATTGGCAGTGTAAGCGTGCCCAACCCCTCCTTTACCCCTTATTACGAAAGGGAGGCTCGAACCGATTGTTACCGGGTGTGCTGGCGGGTCGCGCGGACGAATCTTTCGAGGTGCAAGAGGGCCTCCACTCTTCGCCACCCTTCGGAGTCGCCAGCGAAGGGGCCACTGGCCCGACAGAAGCCGGCCAAAGGCGTGTCAAATTACCGACTAACCCCCGAGGGTAACCGCGAGCCCACCTAAGCCCATAAGCGTACGTATATTTACTTGTTTCTTTCTCTATAACTGATCGCGAGATCGTTACTTTACTGGAAGAACCGCGAGTTTCTAATGAAACCATCTGCCTGCTCAATAAAACTTTGAACCGGGAGCGATAATGCGTCAAGTTTTATTATTATAAAATGAAGAGCCATTAGCCAAACTATTGTAATTGCCAAATTTGACACATTATGATTAAACATGACATTACAATATTTTGAATATCTACACAATAATGTACGATTCTTAAAATTTTTAGCATAATCTGCTATATTATTCATGTTTGTTGTCTTATTGTTGAACTTATTGAAAATACACGCGATAGATCTTTAACTTAATTAGGGACTATAAAGTGCGTGTACTTGCGAGTTAGTTGCTGGACCTGTACGTACTGATCGCATCGAAATTACCAGCGAGTAGACAGTGTTGACAGTTGCTTCTTTCTATAATCGTCTGGTTTGCCGAGTGATAGTCGGATAGTTTGCAAGCAACCGCGGTAATTGGAGCATCCGCAAAAATATACGGCAGTTCTGGAATTTATAGAAAGAGTCGATTTTCTGTCGTTAAAATAAACATTCTAGTATCATTAAACCCTGTGCAATAGAGAGATCGAAAAATTTGCTCATCTATAAATTCTGTTTCGTTTCAATACAATATACTTCTTCAATTGGAATAGGAAATTATTCAATTGTTACAATTTATAGGATCGCAAGTTTTACTTTTTCATTCTATTCGCACCTCTAATTAAATATACAAAGTGTTTCATAATTAATACTTCAATTGATATCTTTTTGTCATAGAATAAATCAATTATAGGTGTCTCGTAAATAACTCCATCCGTCCGACAAGAGTTTCTCTCGACAAAAGGCACATCCATCTCGACTACCGATCAAACTTTTGAAAAGTCAACTTATCGATTATCCGCTCTCGGTACTATTCCAAATCACAATCGCCAAACATCCCGTCACTTCTCGCGTCCGCTCGCGTAAAATTAAGTAAATTGATTCGACCGACCTTTATGCGGCATCTTCCAGAAGGGCGGCTCGGGGGTAGGCGAGCAAGGGTTGGCCACCCCCGCGCCCAACAGGGTTCTTGCCGCGTGCAGCGCCGCCGCCGCAGCCTCCCTGCTCCGCGCTGCCGCAGCGCTCGGCGGATAATCCGGAGCGCTGTCACTTTCGGCGATTCCGCCGCCACCGCTACCTCCGCAAGGACGAAGGTGCAGGCTCAGCCGACCGCCGCCACTGCTGCCTCCGCCGCCGCCGTCTCCACCGCCGCCACCTCCGGCCACGCTAACACAGTGCTAAAATCATATTCCGGATGGCTCGGTCAAATTTCTCCTGTATAATTTGCTTCTAACTCGAGGCTGATTATTGACACTTACGTCAAAGCATTACACACAATGTTATTCATTTTTGCATAAATAGATGTATACCTGTTGTAACTATTTAAATAACGATACAGCAGAAATCAAGAGCTAATAATCATTCGTAAAATACACCTATTTGATGGATATATTTTTTTTATGGATAGCTTTACACAATCTATTTTAACTATCTTGAACCAAAAATGCACAATTTTATTTTATTAAATGAAGAGTATATAGTACACAATATACTAACATAATTATACAAACCAAATTTTAAAAATGAAAAAAGAGGATGTAATAATCGCGTTTTATTCAGAGCAAAAACTAAAAGATGAAAAATCCATCATCGTTTTTACAAAAAAAAAAAAAAAAAAAAACATGTTGCACGTAAACACGTTAAAATACGTATAACATGCTATAACACCGATATCGTATTATCGGAACTGGATAATATCACCGATAATGCCGTAACTCTCACGGGGAATATATCGCGGCGCGATGATTATTTAGTGCAGAGCGCGATCAAAAACCAATTTCGAGCGTAACGACATAACGTATCGACAGCATGGATTATTAACAGATGCGAACGCGTTTCGATTTCACGTCGTTCTTAATCGTATTATAAAATTTTTACTTGGTGAAGAAAGGGGCACCCGCCAACAGACGCCCGACGGCGAATCACTTAGCCCACAGCATAGGGAATGTTGTTAATCGCGTGCCGAAATTATTTCATGTATGTTTTTACAACGATTTTATATAAATTCATGACAATTACAGAAACTCGATTGATTCCTTTCCGCGACGCGTGCCCGTAAATAACGCGGCTTCAAAGAACATAATTCAGGGGATTATCGCCTGCGAAACGCGGTAAATATTGGCGCCGTCGAAACTGGTTCGCCAAAAGCAAATTTCAAAGTGCGCCAAAAAATAAATAGCACCCGAACAAATAATAAACATTGCCGTGTCGGCGGTAAATTTCCGAATTTTTCCAAGGTTGATTACATCCCGCATAAATTTGTCCGTATTACTTCACGCACTGTAGATCTAACGAGAATGTGTACAATATCAAAATGCTGGAAAGATTTTTTTCATGTTATCATAAAAATAACGCAATTAGGATATATAATCGGAAAAATTTGAATTAAATTTTAATATAATTTTTTCGAAAACAAATGTTTTTCCATTCCCTTATTTTTTTCACTTGGAACATAGTTAATGAAGTAACATAATAATCGCGAATAAATTATTGATATATTGCAAAATATTTCGAAAACAAATGTTTTTTTCATTCCCTTATTTTCTTTCATTTGCAACATAGTTAATGAAGTGACATAATAATCGCGAATAAATTATTGATATGTTGCAAAGTATTTCATATTTTTTGTAACAATAAATCACTGTATTCATAAGAAAGTAATAAATATACATTATTATTGTTCCTTGAAAGTAATTGTATGTATAGTTTGACTTTGAAATAACGCATAATTATCAGTAGTTATTCTATTTTTGCAACTGCACCCGGAAATTTTTATATTGTACATATGTATATGAGAAATGAATAGCAGTATACAATTTACCTGCACTTCTACCTGTTATTTGTCAAAATAGGCAAAACTTTCCGATAATTAAACGTATTACATAAACAAAACGATGTATATTGCATAAACAAAAATAATTGATGCAAATTATTTAAAATTATTCCCGAAAAGTGTCACGAACAAATCGCTACGAAGAGAAATAATCTAATCTCACCACTGAATTATCGAATAGCACCTATAGTGCCACCGAGACAATATCCTGACGATCGAGAAATCCGACATGTACGCGCGAGCGCAGCGCATCTATGCGCATTCTTGCGTGCCCCTCGTCTCATCACGGTTAATCATCACACGCCGGCGTGTGTCGAGACGAGCGTTAATTGTCATTCGGCGCGGCTCGTAGATCATTAGCTCCTTTCAAGCCCAGTCGCGGTAACGTCACGACGGCCGACGGCAAAGCGGGGGACATCAATACCCGCGCCTGACCGGATCGAAAAGTGCAAGCTGTAAAGCGGCGAGCCAAGGGTCGTTAAACGTGGTCGACCGCGAGATCATTCCGCTTCTCGTCGCGACTTATTCTCGAGACGCTACTTCTTAGGATGGAAAGAGAGAGAGAGAGAGAGGTCGTACTCGTTACGAGATCTCGATTGGATCCCGCTGTCAAAACGCGATTCCGCGCGACTGGCAGACGGATAAATAATTTAATCTTTGATACTTGTATGTGTACATGTACATGTGTACATTATGCATATTTGATATTACGAGTATGTTTCCTCGCGGTAGCAATCTATGTCACTTGATGAAAGAACAAAAATAAATAGCAAAAAATGCAGAAATATTATTGTAAACAAACACGCAAAATACATGTTATAAAATGTAGTTATCCTACATCATATATTAATGATTAATTTGTGATATTTAAATAAATTTCGTTTTTCTTTCTGAGACACAATATGGATGATACAAGCATCGTTTAATAAATTTGCACGTTTCGATAACAGCAATAAATATTTTCTTTTTCGTCAACAAATGTATGTATCGAAAGCGAGGACTGATGGCAACCATAATTACAAGATTTTTCAATTATTAATTATTAAAACATACAAGGGGATGTAGGAATAGTAGGCTATTTCACACGCGCGCTACGGGACTTTTAGCTAGCGAAGATGAAATTACTGCCTCGGAAGTATCCGGACAGCTGGGGAACGCGACGTGCAGAACGCGACGGAGATCTGAGAAACGAGCTGTGTTTAGTCTCGTTAAAACGACACGACATCGCGCTACCTTTCTGGCACAAAAGCGGAATATCTCGCAGACGACCTGCGTCCCGTCGAGCGCGAAAGGCGAAAGTTTAAGCACGATGCATTAATTTGCGCCAATTAGAATGCCGGCAGTAAACTGCGAGCGCGTACTCGCACTAATTCGAATCGGATACGCAAGTTAATCGTTTTTAATTCTCCGACGCACTTCATACGTGCATTACAATGAGTAACTCTATCAAATATATCACATTTCTCTATATAACTTGATTTTCTCTCGACAGAGAGAAAAAAAGAAATGCAAGTCTTAAATTAAGACAATTTATTGAAATTAATATATATCTTTTGATTAATAATATTCTGGGTACCCCAAAATTCTATCCAATATATATTATAAATATATTTTTGATGAGATAAAGATTTATAATTATACATCACGTAATTAAAGAGAAAATTGATTTGACACTTTTGCGCACGAAAATTCATGAAACGTTGACATCGGTTTAATCGATTTAACAGAAAAACTACAAGAAAAGAGACTCAAAATTAGTAAACAGTTGAGATTAAGATTTTTCTCAGGTTTATCCTTTTTCCCTTCGGCCTTCAGCGCTTTAGGCATGACAAAGGGCTTTTCACGAAATCTCTGAAGTACGCGAACGCTTTCTTTGTCAAGCACTCGAAGAGAGACATCTGTTATTTTCCGAGATTGTATCATTTTCAATGAGCAAAACGTGTTCGCTTCTTTCATCTAGAAATAATATCAACAATGTGTCTCTCGAATAAATATGCAAGCTGAAACGATGTAAGAAAGATATTGCATTTTATGTGGAATTCTACAGCTACATAAAATTACATTTGATGAAAAATAATTTAACGATCTTCTTTTATAATTCTCCTTTAAAAATTACAAGTGCTGTTTACGAAGAAGATAATAAAAATATTATTATTTACTCATTGAAATTTAAATACAAAGAATAATAAGAGAAAGAGAGAGACTTTTTGCAAAATATGCAAAAAGTTGCACAAAATACCAAAATCACATTTATAATAAAATTGTTTATATAATTGCGATAAAAAATAAAATTCTCTATACAATTGTAAAATATATAATGATTAAGATATAATTATATATAATAATAAAGAAGACGAAAAATATAAGAGGCAGAATAATAATAAGAACATGACAATGAGAATTTTTCTTTCGTTCTAAAATTACGTTGTAATTTCATTGTTTTATCGTCAAGTTAAACAATAACTTAAATCCAAATTGATTCTAGAACGAGATCAGGACATAAATAGAATCTCTTGGATATTAAAAATCGAAGTTTTCATAAAAGCATAACCGCAATATTGCCTCTCGCACTTTCGGTAAACAAGTACGATGAATTCTGCTTGCAATCGACAGCTTTTTTTCGCGATCATAATGAGGTACTCGGGCGTTAACAACGCCATTGTGCTACGCGCAATTTGTAGCTAACCGTCGCATCGCGCCGTGCGTCCAAGTTATTACCTCTATTTCGGTTTATTACAGTTTTCTATAGACAGTAAGAGGCAATTCTGCAGGAAAATTCAATTCGTTTCTTTGCCGTCATTTTCGAGCAACCAAATATATTTCCCTTTATACTTATTATATAAATAAAATAAAAGGATCTCGTAATTTTTTATATAAATCAAGTCTTGCTTAAATCAAAAAAACATACTTGATAAAAATTATTAATCATGAAAATAGCTCATATTTATTTATAAACCTGTTTATAAGTATAAAACAATTATGATAACATTTACATATGTAATTTGTAGTACATCACTCTTATCGAAGATTTTATTCTTTAGATATCGTTAAAAAAACCATTATCAAACTGAATAAAAATTATATAAAATAATACAAAAAATAATAATTATATTATCGTAAAATAATACGAAGAATGTATAAAATAAAAATATAACTAGAATATTACATCGATAATGAAGTAATATACTAAAAAATCATAAATATTGTTTAATATTCAATTTTTTTATCATACATTATCTGTGATATTAATTATATAAAATCCTGAATGTTGAAATGAATTTATTAAATTACGATTTATTTATCATTCTTTTTTTTAAAAGCAATTATTTAATTATATCAGCAATCAGTTGTTAGAAATTAATGTATCAATAATATAGAAAGTCCGACGGTTACTTGCAAGTATAAAGTACTTTAGAAATGAAGAGAAATATTCACTCATTAAAAACGAAAATATAATATGATTAAAAAAGGAAATATAGAGAACCACCCTTGACTTTTTTCATAGAATCATTATACAATTACTAATAAATAAAAAAAAGTATTACCCTTGACAATAGATAATCATATCTACAATTTATAAAATTCGAATATAGATCAATCAGCTAACTGTAATATAAGCTATGTTCTTAACATTTTACTAACCATATGTTACAAGGAAAGCCTATGTTTATAAATAAGAATCTTAAATTTACACAGAGCTAAAATGTTAAGAAATTTCGAATTTTTTTATTATAAACTTAATGGGAACGTACCGTGTCGAGAATGGCCGTGGTCAGGCCGGATCCAGCCACCAGCTGAAAGCACAATCCGCGACGACGTTGCTCTGCTCACGATACTTTCTCGGCACGGCTCCTGTAGATCGGAGCTCTCGCGCTCCTCAGTTTGCCGCACCGATGAAGGAACCTCAAGGAATCAGCTGCCGAATGTGGATATGCTGCGGCTCAACTTCTGATCTCACTGATACACTAGAATTGCACAGTTTAACGCAGAGAGTGCATCGAATCTCGCCACGATGAATCCACACTGTTGCGATTAAACGCGAATTGTTGTTGTCAATTATGAACGAGGCACCGATGACAGATCCGAGAGACGGGAATCGCGTCCTCAAGATCGCGATGCGTAGCAGGTGCTCACGAGATTCTTGGTCAAGCGCGAAATAACGTTCGAATCAATGCCGTACAAAAGAAACAAGAATATCCAGGATGTGTCTTGATGGTAACGCTTTCCGGATACAAGGAGCGTGAAGAAGCGCGGCTCTTCTCGGCGGTTTATCGGAGTTTATCGCGCCTGGCTGACTGCGGACGAGACGCTGCGAGCCGGAGTGCAGTTGAACGCGCGGCGTCGGTGGAGAGGAAAGAAGCACGTGCCCGACTCCCAAAACAGGGGTGCAGTGACGCGTCGCTGCTGCGGTGCGCGGCGCCCGATTGACCATCAGAGTCTGCCTTCCCGCATGCGGAGATCCCTGCCGCACGATTTCGGCGCCCCCACCCCTAAGCGCGTTCCCTCGTACACACCGTCTCCCTTCGGCCGGTGTTGTCCCTGTTCTCTCCCCTGCTGCGCCTCACGCCGTCTCCGTTCCTCATCCTTTCTCCTTCCTCCCTCGTTCACGCTCCTTCTCTCTTCTTCGTCCTGTGCAAGCCGAGTGCCGACCAGGCAGTTGCCTTGCCTCCGGGCAACGTTGCCCCTGACGAGGCTTCTCGACCAGGACCAGCGCTGGTATCTGGGTGGAGCCATACCAGCGGTGGTGTGGCCGCGGCTCGTCGTGCTCGCCGACAGTGGGGATAAACTACAATCGTGCCGCGCAGCTCGACTCGGCTCGGCGTCGCGCAACTCCGAGCGGCGCTTTTGATGCGGCCCGATCACCACGATCTGACATTCTAGCGGAGGCGGCGCCTGTCATGGGCGGTGCTCCGTTCCCCGGTCTGATCGGGGAACCTCGACGACGCCATTGTTTTCGGCGCGGGATGCTGCGGAACGCAGCGCGTGCGAGGTTCACGCCGACGCCCGGCGTCGCGACGCCACTCTCGCACGCAACGCCGTCGCCGGCCGTCGCCCGTCGTCCGCCCGTCTCTTTCTCTATCTACCTCCGCCGAGCTGTTCCACCAGGATTTTTCACGTCGACGAGGTAAGTCTGTTGTTGTATACACGCGTGAATGTGTGAAAAATATGCGAAATTACGATGCTACTTGAGTCTCGCATAAATTTCTTCTTTTCTCCGCGCGTGCGACTCCGGTTTCTTTACTTTGTCCTCCTTTGCTATTGCTCTTTTCAAAGTCTGTCTTTGTGACGTATTATAATGTTGTAAAGGAGTAATTGAAACATTTACTCGAAAATTTTTAATTCATTTTTAGCTGCTTCATATTAGAATTACTGATCAGCATGAGTTGATGTAGCAATATGTGTAGATATCATGCATTTGAAATATCGACAAATATTTTAACATTTATTGATTTTTTACTGGATATTTAATTATTTGATTCTACTATATAATTTATTAAATTAATAAAAAATTATTATCTTCTCTAACAATTAAGAATCGTCTGAAATGAGTTTTCTATCGGATAGATTATTTGCACAGTGTTGAATAATTTATTTCTGTATAATTATAAATAATATGAATGAATTTTAATTTGTTAATTTTGTTGAGCTTAATTTTCTTCACGATTTTACCCTTCATACATATTTTGAATACAAGATGGAAAGAATAGTTTGATATGGATGGACATTGAATTTGACATTCTGATGCCGTTTTCACACGTAGCGTCCATCATGGAATCATCGTCATAATCCACCCTCTGATTTATCTGCTTTCGGCACAAACCGTCCAATTTTTTTTATCTCTGAGTCTATCTGTATACACAGTCGCATATATTCATTGTGTTAGTACATGTAACTTGTGCTAATACATGTAACTCTAGCTCTTTTTTCGCACCCCGTTTTTCTCGTCTTTATTTTATCTTTTACGTTTTCTCCGTCTATATATACGGGTTGACATAAGAGAGACGCGGTAGGATTTTGCTAAAAGAACCCACTCTAATGAGAGATAATGGCAGCTGCGAGTAAAAACCAGCGTTTGCTCTTTCTTTGAGAATTAGCGAGCGCTTTAAAACGATTACCTCGCATACAAAGCAAGTCGCAAGAAACAGTCGCGCGGAATTAAAACAAATGCATTTTTGTAATATATATTTAGCAACTAAAGCTGATGGTTGAGTTGAAAGGTAATATTTATTTTTTAATTTATTTTATAGTAGCTATTTTTGTATGTCTATATTATATGTATATATATGTTTGTGTCTGTATGTATATAATTTGTGATATTATAATATTTGTAGTATATAAGGCAAATAAAAAAAATGCTTTATTATGTTTATTGTCTTTCTGAAAATATAAAACTTAGAATACATTACAATAAAAATATAATCATTATTCCCAATCTGTGAATTTATTAAATGAATAATCAATCAGGCATTTTTCATACGCGATTAAAAATGGAATTTGAGGTTTGTTGTCGAAGGGATGAGAGTGCTAGATTGTAGAGACAGAGAGAGAAAGAGAGAGAGAGAGAGAAAGAGAGAGAGAGAGATATCAACCCCTTTGCTTAAAATAAATACCATAGGAAAGTCGAGATTCCTTTGCTCGGTCGGATGGAACAGGTGGATCCAATTAGGCGCCAATTACCTGCGTATCTAACTCTTTCTCGCCAGCGTGGCAATCGGCGCGATTAACGACGCGCTCGGGGGAAATAACTCAGCAAAAAAATGCAACATAAATACAATGTGAGCTGTCGAGAAAGTTGCATCCAGCCGACGCGCAAATTATTTCATCATTCGTCGCGCTGTATAAAATCTACCCCATCGCTCGCAAAAAAAATCTCTCGTCGACTACCAATTATTTTTGTATTCGAAAAGCGCACGTATATGTTTGCCGATTGTTTGTACCAATCATAACTTCACATTGCCAGTATTATACGACGGAAAATTGATTTTACAATGCGATTTTATCCCACACGTTGTTTCCTGCCATTAGTAATGTGCGAATGGAAATAAAAAACTGCATTAGCCTGATATAACTGTCGATAAAAGCATTTGACATTTATAATCAAATAAATTGAAATTTACAGGGGAAAAAATTAAAAGAAAATCGCATAAGATCTTATTCTCAAATTGAAAATTTCTTTTAATATTCGCGCACACAATTATTTTCTATTTTCAAGAGATCTCTAAATTTTCACAAGTAAAAATTTTCTTTCTTTATATATATTATTACACAATAAAACAATGAGAGGAAGAATTCAAAGTTATTTAAATGTGGTAGAATCTACTGGATTTATATGCATTTGTATCAAGCAATAATTTGCAAAATTAAAGCGTTATTTACGAATATTACGTACATTACAAGTATACGTATATGCAAGGACAATATGTAATCGAAGAATAGGTACTTAATTATTAGACAAGGTCATCTCGCTACTCTCGCGACACTAAATACGTGTACCCGACCGAGTATGCAATTAATCAGCCAGGCGTAATTAATTGAAGCCGGAGCACGAGAATCGATGTGTCGTGCGTAGAACGTTCAACGAAAGTTCCGTCCTGTCTGGTCTTCGAAGCAACCGATAAAGAGAGGATTATAGTTAACGAGGGAAGACAACATAAGAGATTCGGCGAAGGTTACAAAATAAAAATGCAGAAATTATAGTACGAACATATAGTATAGAATGATAGGAAAATTAAGGCGGAAGAGATAAGGTTAAATCCTTAAAGTAATATGTCTGATTTTTTAGCGAAAAAAACTTCCTACGTTTATTAGTTAATTTCACTTTTTGCGTGACTACTTTTATTCTGAAAATGACTTAAATCGAACTTGGAAGGTTTTAATTACATCTTAATTTCATTTACTGCTTACACTTCTATTCTTATATAAGATATTTAAAAATATATATTTTATTTTAATTTGTCATAAAATGTTATAAAATGTCATAAATCTTTAAAATTTGTACGATTTATTTATAACATAAATATTTATATCGCACTCCGAGAAATCATTTAGCAAGAAATTTTTAACGTACTGCACTTTTTCCAATCGGATTCGGAAAGTTGCAAGAACGATATCGATCGAAGAATATGCGAAAATCATTAGGATAATAACGTCTTTATATACTGTGCTAATATTTCCTGCAGCTAATATAAGTGTAGCCTCCGGTTGATAACCATGAAATACGGGGTAGCAAGTTGTCAAAGTTCACTAGCGTGTCTTTCGACACGGTTCTCGTGTATCTTTCGGCTTTAGCCACCGCGTACAATTGGATTTATCAAGTCAGAATCGAAACGCGACAAATCCCATGTATACGTGCGTTTGTGCGCGATATACAACATTGACATTTCAGATAGTCGTTGGTGCAAAACTAAGTTAATTAGAACCTATATAAATTTTTTTCTTATTAATACAGTTGTCCAAATATTTTATTATATTTAAAAACAGTGAAAAAGTGGAATAATATATAAATGAATCTTTTTTTCTCTTTCTATCTCCATTATCGTAGTATTATTCCAAACTTATATTCTTTCCTCGCCAATTTTTCGCAGTATCGTTCGCAAATTTATGTATGCGAACTTCATATATATTTCTGCCTATTATTGTATCGAATATTGTACAAAACAACTAAAACGCTTAGCGGTATTTTTAATCGAACCGATTTCATACGCAACAGTGTTATTCGAACGTTTAACACGAACAGAATACTATCGAGGCCGCATTGTTGGCAGCATTTTCATCCGAAGCATTTACAATTCCTCTTTATTGCCTTTCGGCTTATCCGGATTGCGCCTCGCGCATTTACGAGTTGTATTTCATCCTGATAATCGCCATTAAGTTAACGAACTGCAATACGGGCATTTGAACGCATGGAACACGCGGATTAACGTACATTAATAAAATTATCCGTGTGAACAATGGATTATGCGCTCGCGGGCTTTAAATGTGTCGTTCCACGACAAAAAGAGATCGGCGCAATGTGATTATCGGAACAAAAAAAATTACGCGGGACAAAGATACGCCGCCGAGAATAATAATTACAATTTGCCAGTAATTGATTTAGCCATGTACGTATAATAACAACAGCGGTAACAATCGAGCAATTTACTACAAACGCGATATCTGCTTTTATCGCGTACGCATACTCGTCGTTTGAAAAAAAGAATACAATGATGTAAATATAAATAAATAATACGCAAGTTATATATAACGAGATATTTCGTATAAACACAATAGCGAGGAGATAACGAGCGTGGATATGTACACATTCGAATACCGTAATGTCAATTAGCTATTCATGCACGAGTATAAGTTGCGCCACGATATCGGTGCTCTTCAGTGGCCAACTTTGCCGAAATAGTTACCCTCGCGAAACTTTCGCCGTCGAGACGTATCGGATTACTTTCCACATTCGCCCTTCTACGAGTTACGCTCGTTACGCGGAAACTCGGGGACCCGTAAAACACGGCGGCGTTAGGTGAATTTTATTATTCTCTGATTTCAGGCTTCGGCGCCCGGCGACGCGGATCTCGCGAAGAGCAAGTGCATCTCTTTGCGGCGAACGGGGCGCCCGACATCGCGGTGTAATCAGACACCGGCGCGAGAAGGAAGACGCGGAAGGGAGGAAAGCAGAGACGTAAATGTAATTGGAAACATCCGAGAGGGAGATTCGCCTCGTTTCTGATCCGTGCCGCGCGGCTTGCCTGCTTCCATTCTTCCCTCGGACCGTCCGTCGCGATGCAAACGCCATGCCGTCGCTTTTTCTCGCGTTCATCTGCGAACATTCGCGAGAAATGCGTATCGTTTTCGGGGCAGATTGTCTTCTTTTGAAATTGCCGACTATTAAATATAAAAGGCTCTCGTAATAGTAAAGATCGACGCTAGAGATTCAATTATCACCGATCGTGATTAAAGGGACGCGAATGCGGTACAGCTCTATAATTACGCAATTTTTCAGATATCGATAGTACGTTCTTCTTCACGCGACTTCAAAGATATATTTACGCGAGAGTCTCACGACGTACGCATGGCTAAGGGAGAAAAGCGCTTTCTTTGTGACGACGTTTACCATTACGTACGTGCAGCTTTGTAAATGGCAGGGCGCGCGCGCCACGCATGATTAAGCAGAGCCCGACGATAATGCGCTGCGTGCGGCTCTTCGGCGTAAAGAAGGTGTAAATACCTCCCGATGATTCCTCGTCCAAGGATCGAAGCGGATCGCGCAAAGGGAGCCGACACGGAGGCGGCTCCTTTCTCGTCGATAGTTTCAATGGAGAGTTTTTCTCATAGAGAGCCACTCGCGTCCCCCTTCTCTCTCTCTTTCTCTCTTCCTTTCTCTCTTTTCCCGTCCCTCTTCGTACCTTCGAGGTACGCGTGTGCACGGAAAACGATAAAAAAGACGAGATCTCTCAAAAGGTACGCGGAGCACCGCCTCTGATGAATGCCGCAACCAGTTGGCCACCATGTTTTCCCTCCGCCGGTGTGTGTACGCCCTACTCTCCGAAACATCCCCTGTGTCGCGTCCCTCCGTGTGCCGACTTCCAACCCCTCGCAAAACCGCGATTGAACCCTTGTACATCCAGCGCGTAATACTGCGTACTATGGCATACAGAGGTGATTTTACGTGCGCTTTGTGAGCGACGAATAAGTTGGTACAGTTGTCGAGCAATGCTGCAAAAATGTACATTAATAAATTGCATTTGCAACGATTTTAGAGCCAAAGACGAAATATTATTGACATGCATCGCGAAAGGATGCACGCTACATTTGTACATAATATATAAATATGATTGATAAAAATTGACATATATAATGATAGAAAAAAAAAGAAAGGAAGAGAGAGAACTCAAGCAACAAAGTTTTAAATGAAGATTTGGATAAATACTGATTAAGATTTTTCAGTCAATCATATCTGCAGGATATCAATATTATATTATCGTCTCCAGTTTAAAAACGCTCAAAGATTGCTTGAAAAAAATCGCTCTTTTTATTACTTCATAATAACGGATCGGACGTACACAAAGTGCATGGGCAGCAAAGACGAAGGAAGGAGAGCACTGCAGAAGATGATAGCGAAAAAGGAAAAAAGGCGACGCGAACAGAGAGCGAGGAAGAGAAAGCCGGCCGATAAACAAACTGCCGAGGATCGCGGCACTTTAATCTTCCTTTAGAGGCATCGGCCGCTCTTTGCGGCGTTGAATGAAAAGAGAGCAGGAGTGGTGGGAAGGCAGGGGACCCCCGACCTCACCCTCCCATTTCTCTTTCCTCGGTGCACTCGACCCCGCGACTCATTATGGCAACATGCGGTAAGTATGCTCGCGTTTAAGTCTCGGTTCTACCCTTCGGGCGAAGGCTACCCCAAACGACGTCTCGGTATTAGTTACACGTGTATATGTGTGCCCGTCGCAAAAAGCGATAGTCGAGAGCCAGGAACACGACGAAGGTTACCGCATTACGGCACTGTCGAAACCGGCGGGGTCGGGGACAGGATGGAGGAGCATCCCTTATTTCGCGGCGGGGCTCGTTGCACGGCTCGGCGCATCCGAATAGTCTCACTCCCTTGATCCGGGGTTCCAGGTGGTTCCTGACCCCCTCTCACCCCCGAACATACTCTCGAAAATTAGGCATCGTGGATACTGAGCCGATGGTATGCGTTTTACAGCTGCGGCGCGATAGAAACGGACAGAAAGCCGCGCGTGTCTATATCTTTGTCCTTCTGGTCCTCTAAAGAGTATATTTTCTGGATTCTAGTAAGTTAACTGTGACAGAGCTTAAAAATGTATTTAAGGTATTATAATTTGATATAATATATTTAAGTGAATCTTTACAGAAATTTAGTAAAGTTAGAAAATTGAAATTGAATAAATAAAAAATTAATTATATTACTCAAGTTTGTAGAAGAATAAATATTAAAGAAGATATATTCATTTCTCTCTCGAAACATTGAACAGTTCGTAAAACGAATTTGTACTTGAAGTCAAACTATCTTTTCAGATGCTACTAAATTTATAAGAGAAATGAAATATAAATATATATTCAAACTTTTTCTTATCTACACACTTTGGAGGGAGGGAATATATTGATGAAACTCCATAATATACTTCTTACTTCTTAGAACTTTCATTGAAACTTAAAATTCTTTGAGGTAAATCCATTCTTGTAAATGTAAAACGATGAGCATAATCGAATATGTAATATTTGTAAAAAAATGCCCGCGAAAATGTCGAATGTAAGATTTTTCTTTAAGCAACTGAAAAAAATCAAACTATTGCAATTGGACGCAAAGGCAGGATATAAATAAGCTCCATTGTGTCTGTCACTACTTCGAGCGACATTTCGCGCGGGTAGCGCTTAAATTCTCAGAGAGTGCGATCAGGTAAGGGAAGAAGAGCGGCGATAGAGATGGGATACGGAGAGGCCCGGAGATAATCCCAGTGATGATGGCGACCGATGCCGACGTGGTGGGACTTACCCCCACCTATCGAGTGCTAACCCCCCGGGTAAGAGGCAACGATACCGCCGAGGTCTGAAAGGCCGCTGCGAATAACGCGCTTACGCGCGATCATCCGACCGCGATTCTCCGATGCCCGTGACAGATCGTGCCGCGGCGTCCTTGTGAATATCGCGGGGCTAAAGCCTGCGCTAAAGAGCGAAAAGAGCTTGGATGGGGAGGAGGGAGAGGGGCGCTAAGTCTTTCGTGGATGGTCGGGCGCGCGCTTCGTCTCGGCGACAATACGGTGTAGATTACTTTTCAGAATAGGCGGCGTGACGTAAACGCGTCCCGGCGGTTTTCCTTTCGCGAACAATGCCCGTGTTTACCAACACAATTTGGCTCGGATTTAGGCGTAAATTCATGCGTGTCTGTGGGTTTGTATGCATGCCGAGTGATGCGTAGAGTATCTAGCTTCAAAATCCCGCATATACGAATGCCTATATTTATCTCCGTTATATTGGGGAACATTAAATTTTTTTATAAATTGCTATTGAAATAAAAAATAATGAATAAAAAAAGAATGATTAAAATTACTTGCATTTATCGATCAGAACATATTCAACAGATTAAATAATATTCACATGTAATATTAGTTACAGATTAATTAGAAGATAAGAAATATTGACGTAATAAGAATGTTGGCATAATATTTTCTGTAATAAAAATCCGGTTTTTTTAATTTCAATATTTCTGAGTACCTATTCAGTTATCCTCTTAGTTTAACCATCTAGAAATGCAGTTGTGGTTGAACTGGTTTGGTAGCTGAGAAGACGCATCATACGGTGAATAATATTACTTCACGCGGCATGATATTAACGCGGACATCTCAAAAAGTTAGAAAAGGGTCGGGCACAACGCGCCGCGATCGAAATTGATTTGATCTACCACAGAGTGCCAGACGAAACGATATGCCTGGATATTGGAGCCTGATGAAGGCTTCTCGAATGTCGTATTGGACAGAGAACAGGAGAAAAAGAAGAAAGAGAGAAAATGGGAGACAAAAAGAGAAAGGGAGACAGAAGCTGATTGAAATAGAATGAAGGACTGAGTGAGAGGGACGCATTCCTAGACAGCTTACCGGGACAAGCATCGCATCAGCTATCGTACAGTTTCTCACATCCAGAGGTGGCGGATTTGTTTCTGCCTTTTATCCTGCGACGTAAGACGTAGTTTCTTGAAAGTCGCGGCTCTCTGTACAAAGGCACACTTGAGAAAGCAACAACGGTGTCATCTTCGAAGAATTTTGAGCTACCAGGATACCAGTGACGCTGTCATGTATGCTATGTGTGCTTATATATATATATATATATTTTATATTTTATCATTTTAATATATATATATATATATATATATATTATTATATTTATTATTATATTTATTTTTATTATATATATTTTTATATTTTATCATTTTAATATATATATATATATATATATATATATATATTAAAATGATAAAATACCAAAATACATAATTAATATATAAAATAAATTGAATAATAATTAACATTTCATATTTTTTATATAGACATACTTTGTTTATATATTATATTCTTCATATTCTTTTTTTTTATTATTACTATAGAATGGCCGGTGCTTTTCACGATTTATGCATAAGAAACGACGATCATGCAAGTATTTATGGTCATTATTCTTATATTATCCCGACTCGTTAAAACGATCAGCGTAACACGTCTATAAAACATAGCACTTATCCGAATCCTTAACGGTAGATGGGTGAAAGCGCCGATATTTATGGAGTTCTGATTACATCGTATAATAGCAAGTCGACTCACTGGGCGCGCTCCCCCAATGCATAGATCCCTCTTCCATTACAGAAAGCCAGTCGAGTGTGAAGTATTATCATACAAATATAATCCTCCCTCGCAACTCTCTGCTCAGAGAAATAATATTTGTTCCGATCGTACGACCAATTATCTTAACTTGTACGATATGTTAATACGCATATATAACGTTCATGGAAGAGAGAGAAAGATTCCACATACTTTCTTTCCTTCGGTTATTGTGTGATATGTGTAGACAAATAAATGTTTTTCATATATATTTAACATAGATGCATTTTTTCGATCTTTATATTATTGTAAAATATCCGTCTTTTTATATCACATTTTATAAAAATATTTTTATTATCAATTATGCTTTCCTAAATTGCTTAAAATAATTAATAAATAATATTTCTCCAAATATAAAATATGAAATAGCTTTTGTTAAAATTCTGATATATTATTTGTGAAATTCTGATATATTATTTGTTATCATCTTTTTCTACTTGTCTTATTATTTCCCATTTATGGAAGAGAAAAGATACATTATACTCTAGTTTATATAAAAAGAAAGAAACGTTTTACGATTGGCTTGATCTTACCAAGAAAATGACGTTCTGTTAAATCATTTATTTCCAATATCGAAGAAATGTCTGATACATGGTGACGCGTAAAGATACAAGGCAGATTGTATAAAGGGCGATTTGCGCGAAAATAGAAGAAATCTTAGAAAGTATGTTTGTTTATTCGATCGTAATGTATAATCGACGACGTCAATATAACCGTTTGTTTTTTTCTAATTCTCTACGGAATGATTGGCTCTCTGATTGTCATCTGCGCGAAATGGATCAACTATATTGCACATGAAAAATCCGATTCGTTTTCTCCATGGCTCGACAAGTGAAACCGTCCGTGAGAATCTTCTAAATCAATCTACACGACAGCATTTATCGAAGCACATCCCTCAATCTCGCTGGATTTTGGATAGTAACGCATGTCCAAGGCATTAGAAGCAGAATCGATGGTCCTGGGATTTCTTTCTGCATGGATATTTTTTTCCTCTGCATTTGTTCGTACAGTAGAATATTAACGTAACGTTCTCGGCTATTCAATTTCTTCTATGAGTCATTGTATTATAATATTTTTGGAAATTAAATCAATCAACATGAGGTCTTTATTATTATTTCTGATTAAATTAATCAGATTAATTTAATGAAAAATAAACGCGACGAACATTAATTTATAAAACTTGTGAAAAAATAAATTATTACATATATCTAAATACGTATGTACATACAAGTATATTTTAAGAAACAACCTATCATCTTTATATTAATTTCAATTTAAAATTATCTTTATTTCAGAAAAAAGCTGTATATATATGTGCATTATTAATATTTACTGCAAAAACATCTTTGTATTTATAAGTCTGG